CCCTCCTTTACTCTCACACACAACTACCACACTCACAACATTTCTGATGGTGCATGTGTGAGGTGTTTTCCCCACATATTCTCTGTGACACCAGCTGGGTGTGTTACAATTCAGTCTGACACTCACAGAGTTAGTACAGACCCCATGGGTTAAAGAGTCAGTCCTACAAGACTACCCCACCACTTCAGATGCCAATTGCTACTAGGTACCCAGATTACCCACAACTTCTGTCCAACTTGGCTACAAATTAGGGATTCCCATGACGTACCTGACCTTGGATTTGACAATTTGCTGGAACAACTCACAGAATCAGGGCAACACATTTACCAGTTTATTATTTAATAACAAATATGATAAAAGATACAGATGAGCAGCAAGAGGTCTGGAAGGGTCCTAAGCACAGGACCCTTCCCCAAGTTTTTCACCACAGTCAGAAGCAACCAACACTGAATCTCAGACATGGAAAAGACATCTAGAAACTCTCCAGTAGTACCCCCAGTGCTCCCCAAAGGCTGCCATCTGCTGCCCAATCCCCTTCTGGCATAAGACACTTTTTTCTGTTGTGTAGTGACCAGCCTGAGGCCTCCTTCTTTACTCTTACATCAGGGAAGGGATTTCTTGCCAAGAGCTAATGGAGTGTCTCCTGTAATGCAGCCAGTCTCCTGAGGAGCACCTGTCCCTTGGAGTTTTGGTGTGCCACCCTCCCAATACATGGATGTGTTCCCCAACCTGGAAGCTCTCTGGACCCCATACTATTGAGGGTTATGGGGGGGGAGACTTCCTCATGTAGACATGATTGATCATTGACTCAGTTTCCAGCCTCTTTCTCCTTACTGGATGGTAGAGAATGGGGCTGAAAGTTTTAAGCTTCTAACTGTGACCTGGACTTTCTGGTGACGGCCCCCATCTGGGAGTCCATTAAGCATTGCCTCATTAGGACAGGAGACCCTGCTATCACCCAGGAAATTCTCAAGGATTTAAGAACTCCACATCAGGAACTGTGGTCAAAGACCAAATATTAGAACAGAAAATGCTCCTGGTGCTCTTACCACTCATGAAATTATGATGGCTTTAGGAGCTGTATGCTAGAAACTGGGAACAAAAACCAACATACATGTTTTCTACTATTGCACAATGACCATACTGATCCATCTAGGGAGCTGCTCCCTCCACCGCACACTGGGGGGCCGACGTGCATGGGGCCTTCAGATCCCTGCTGCTGTGCCTCTGATCCAGGACCAGAAAGTCTTTGCCAACCAGGATATAGCTGCCTTTTTGTTTTCAGTTTTGTTGTGTTTTGTATTGAGGTATACCTAATGTAGTAAAGTACACGTTACTTTTTTTCCTTTTTATTAAATTTATTGGGGTGAATTGGTTAATAAAATTATGTAGGTTTCAGGTATACAGTCCTATAATACCTCAAAAAATTAAAAAGGGAACTACCTTATGACCCAGGGATTGACACTTCTGGGAATATATCCAAAGAAACCCAAAGTGTTAATTCAAAAGAATATATGCATCCCTATGTTCACTGCAGCCTATTTACAAAGTATACAGCTCTTAAGTGTATACTTCAGTCAGTTCTGAGCAACATATACATTCTTGCAATCTGTACCGTCAGGACACAGAACATTTCAGTCTTTCAAGAATGTTCCCTCATGTACCTGCTCAGTCAACCGCCACCCCCGCAGTAGAGGCAATATAATAGTAGAGGCAACTGTTATTTTTCCTTCTATCACTGGCAATTAGTTTTGCTTATTTCAGAGCTTCATACAAGTGAAATTATATAGTCTGAGCTCTTTTTTTAAATCTGGCCTCTTTTATTCAAGATAAAGCTTCTGAGATTCATTTGTATTTGTGTGCACCACTAGTTCCTCCTTGTTATTGCTGAGCAGTCTTCTGCACACATAGACCACAGCTGGTATCCACTCACATATGCTGATGGACTTTTAGGGTTGAGCTCAACTTTTTTGCTTTTATAAATATTGTTGCTACAAACATGTACAAGGATTTGTGTGGACATCTGCTTTCCTTTTTCTTGGATGGATATCTATGTGTTAAATTGCTGGGTCATATGTTAAGTGTACATTTACCTTTTAAAAAAATTGATAGTTTTCTAAAGTGATTGTACCAATTTATGGCAATGAAAATTCCACTTACTCCATATCCTCTTCCACACTTGGTATTGTTAGCCTTTTTAATTTTAGCCATTCTGTGTGTGGTAGTCTCATTCTGGTTTGCATTTACTTTTCATTGATGACTAATGATATTGAACATCTTTTCATGTGTTTACTGGCCATTTAAATATTCTTTGTGAGTGTGTATGTGCATAACTGCATCTTAATGCTCACAAGCTAGTGACTGGACACTGGAATGGTGTGGACAAAAAGCTCATCATCTTCATAAACATTCTGTCCAGCAGAAAATAGCCAATTAGGCAGAACGATGTTCTCTTTTGGCCTTCTAAATCTCATAGAGGGATCTCTAACTAGCAGAGCTGATTCTAGATCCAGAACCCCACCTTAGGGGCATCTGGGAAATATAAGAATAGCTTTTTCACCTCTACCACATGGGAGATGGAATGAGGGCTGAGCGAGCGCAGAGTGCCGATCCGCCAGCGACCCATGCAGTGGGCCAGCATTGCCCTCCCTCCGCTCTGGAGGTGGTCAGGTGTTCTCCTGGGCTGGTGCCTCCTCGAGTCCAGGCTGTGCTCCAGTGGCAGCACATGATACTAACTCACACTGAATCCCTTTATAAGAGAGTATATAACTTTTGCATATCTTTTAATCCATCAAGTGATATGAGGGGGGCTCTGTGTAGTAAAAATTAACCTTACCTGAAAGAGGTCTAGTTTTTGCCCTTAGCTCCTCAAGGTAAGCCCCTGGAATGTCCTGTCTCTAAACAGTGTCTTTGTACACCTGGGGGACTTGGGCCACCGCAAATAGTTTCTAACCATGGGATTGATAGTGAGGTCTTTGGGCCACAGGTACTAGCTCATCCTTCAAAGGGGCTGAAAACTAAGGTGACCATGTGGATGGTCAGTGGTGTCTTTGTGACTGAGCTTCTATAAAAGCTCTGGACACCAAGTTCGCAGGAGCTTTCCTGGTTGGCTGTACTTTGTGCATGTTATCACACATTGTTGCCAGAAGATAGCACTGTTCATGGCTCCACTGGGAAAAGACAATTGGAAGCTTTGTGTTTGGAATTTCTCTGGACTGTGCCCATGTGTCTTTTTTCTTGGCTAATTCTAATCTGGTTTCTTTCACTGTAATAAACTGTAACCTGAGTATAATGGTTTTCCATGAGTTCTGTGTCCTTTGAGTGAATTATTGAACCTAAGCGTGGGTGGTCTTGGGGACAAACTCACAGTTGGTGTCACAAGTGAGAGTGGTCTTGGGCCTTCCAAACTCTTCATTGTCTTTGGGCAGACAATTGCTGGTCTCCTCCAACAGAGCAGACTCCGTTCTCCCATTCAGAGCCCTCAGCCAACACCTCAGTTTCCAGCTAGAATGCAGTTAATCCTTTTTCTTGTTTGCTTTTATTGGTTTTATCTTAAGTGCTCTCTTCTATTTATATCAAGCAGTACTTGTTTTCCATATATGATTGTAACTTTTAAAATAAATGTATTTAAGTTCAAAAGGGAGTTGACCTTATATATGTGTGTGTATATGTAACATACATTATCATATACTATGAATGAAATTCTCTCCTGACTGTTTAGGCATCTGTTCTGATTAGTAGGTGGTGGGTGCCAATCAAAAATATTTTTAGTATTCCCCCTACATGTATATAATATATATATATCACATACAATGTATATCATGTATATATATAATATACATATATTATTAATAATTCACATACATACATAATACAGAATATATTCCACATATTACAGTACATATCACATACAATAAATGTGTTTGTTTTCAATGGATTTATCTTCCTGGGTATGTTTTATTTATATGAGGTAGTACTTGTTTTTACATACACAATAGTGTCTTTTAAAATAAATTTATTTAATAGGGAATTTCTTAAAATGAAAGTAAATAATAATACAGGTAGAATGAAATTGTGGCAAAAATTGAGAAGAGGTGATACACACACATACACACCCACACACAGTTTGAAACACTGATATGTTCTTTTGTATTTTATTGCTTTGTTTTTTTATGCTACTCATAGCCCACTAAACTGATTTTGTAATCTATGAATAGGCTGTGACCTGAAGTTTGTGAAATATCGTTACACAAGCACCTGTGAACAGGACCTTGTCTCTTTACTTTGGCACGATGAACACTTTAGCCTGGGTAAAGGCCTCTGCCCTAAGCCCAGAGGGCCGGCTCTGGCCTCTTCTGGTTGAGCCCCTCCTCACAGGCTGCAAAACCCCAGAGCCTTCAGGAAGTGCCCACTGAAGCCTGTGCTCTTCTTGTCTGTGCTCTGGGAACCTGGGACCCAGGATTCCCCACCCAAACTGCTCTGAGCCCACTCCAGGGCCATGTGGTCTTCTTGGAGAGCAAGCATTCCCTTAAATCAAGAGGTAGCTTAATCAGTGGGTTAGTGGTGTGGTGAGTGTGGATAAACTCATGCGTGTGCATGTTGGAGGGATTCGGGGTGTCAAGAATAGGGGTCCACCACAGGCCCGGGACCTCCATTGTGCTTGCTGCCCATGTTAGGGGTGAGCTGACACTGGATACCAGGCTTTGTGCATGGACCAGGCCAGGAGCCTCAAGTTGCCATGGGCAGAATCCAGCCCTGACCAGAGTCCCTGCAGCCCTTCCCCCAATCCCTCCCGCTTCACCCCAGGCTGGCTGCAGTCACTATATCCCTTGCCTTGGTTTTTGAGTGTGTGAGACCCTCTTACATTAGTTCTCCAGGAGCCTGTCCCCAGCCCCAGCCACTTTCTTCCACCCTCAACCATGAATGATCAGAGATCATGAGCCAAAGATTACAGTGCTTTACTAATTTTCTGAGCAGAATGGTCAATGTGGTGGGGCAGTGCCTGGGGAGCTATGCAGTCTTCAAGGTGGGCAGGCTTGGGAAGGTGGGGGGCTCAGGCCATCAGTCCCGGCTTTGGCTCCACCTGTGTCTTCCCTCTCAGGCCGGGCTTTAGTGAGTATTCTGTAGGCTCTGAGAGGGAAGGGAGGAGGTGGGCTTGGTGAGGTGGCGGCGGCTCGGTCTCTAGTGCCCATCAGGTCATCTGCCTCCACTTCTGATGGGCTCACCTGTTATGATTCCTGCATAATCGGGGCAACTGCCTACACTTGCCACCTGTAGATGAAGGAAATGATCCCATCATGAGTTGGAACAATATTGGTTTCTGTGTATGTGTGCTCTGGATGCTGGAGGACAAGGTCTATCAACCTCACCCCTCTGGGAGCACCAAGGCAACTCTGAGCAAAGGACGAGAAGCAGCTAGGAGGACAGCCAGTGAGGAGGCCATGGGAGGATCTTCCTGCACACGGAGGGGCACTTTGGAAACCTTCCTAGCTTGTGTGTTATTTGTTCCACAAATGTTTATTGTGCACCTACTATGTGCCAGACACTGGTCCAGGTACTGCAGACACAGTCAAGAACAACAATTACTAAAAGCCTTGCTGTAATAGAGCTGACTTTCTAGCGGGGGAGACCAGCAAGTGAGATAAACAACTAAGTCAAGTGTACAGACACTCATAAGTCAGATGGTGGTGAGTACTATGAAGAAAAAGCCAGAAAGGAGTCAGAAGACCTAAAAGAGCTGAGGGCAGAGTCACCTGGATGTCTGGAGGAAGGGTATTCCAAACAGAGTAAACAAGCAGTGCAAAAGCCCTGGGGTAGGAAGGTACAGGTGGGCAGGGAGGCCAGGAGACTGGACCACAGTGAATGAGAGGGGATTTCAGAAGACAAAGGGTCTCCTAGAAACCATCCTTGTTTCCCAGATCCCTGGTCCCTCCTGGCCCTTTCCATGGTTATTGCCACAGGCTCAGCTCATTACTGTATCTAGGGCTCCTCCCTCTTCCTGTTTGTTTTTTTAAAATCATCTTTCTCATCCTCAGGAATCAGTTCAGATTTTACCTCTTTGGAGGAAGCAAAGAGGTAAATGTCATGTGGCTTTATTTTCCTCATGGTTATTATCCTTCTCTGTATCCACTCTGCTCATTAGTGCATTTACCTGTTTATTGCCAAGCCCCTTCGAGATGTGAGCTCCCTGAGGGTGGGGTCTGTACAGCATCACGGCACAGGTTGGGCACAGAGTAGGTGCCCACAAATATTTGTCTTTGGAACAATTTATGGCCCCCGAACTAGCATTCAGGCTCTGTCCTCACGCAGACCTGAGTCCAGTCCTTTCCTGATTCTTAATGTGCTATGTGACCTTGGGCAAACCCCTCAGCTCTCTGAGCCTCACTCTTCTTACAAGAGAGAGAATGGGGCCAGACAAAGCCAGGATCAGTAAACACATGTTGCTTGACCCCTTATTCAATGAGGTTCAAGCACATGTTAACAATCCCTTTTTATTACTGTCAATGTTCTGCCTCCCACCTTAAGACTGAAAAGATGTGGCTGTGACCATTTTCCTGATGGGGAAGTTGGACAAGAGAGGAAATGAAACTTGGTGTAGGTTATACAGCTTAACTGAGAGCTTGCAAACTGATGGCCTTGGTGTTTTATTTAGTGCGAAGCATTTTAAACACTTTTTCAAAAATTAGTTTCTCTGCTTGTTAGCCTCCCTCTTCTCCCTTCCTGATGTGCTGCTGGGCCTTGGGAGGCTGACCTGAGAGGCCACAGTGCCAGCCCCTTGCCCTCTACCTGAGCGTTGGCCAGGAGGCACCAGCAGCAGAGGGAAGGGCAGGAGAGGAAAGAGGTTTACCTACCCAGTCCCCTCTCCTTTGCGTCCTCCTGGCTGGGTTACAATGACACAGTGGCTGCAAACGCTTCCATCTTTTACCAGGTACCAGCGCAGCCATTACTTCTCCTCACCTCTCCAGGCAGGTGTTATCACAGAGCTCCACTGCCACTGGTGCTGGGGGCTGCACCATCCCCCTAACTTGCCACCACCATGTGAACAGGCCCAAGGCCAATGAGGCAAAGGACCAAGGTGCCCACAGAAACAGAGCTCCCTGCTGACTGGCAGCTGACCTCAGCTTTATGCATGAATAAATCCAGCTGGGGCCAGAAGAACCACCCAGCTCAACCCAACCTATATTTCTGAACTGCAGAATTGAGAGCTAGGTAAATGGTTGCCATTTTAAGTCACTGAATTCTGTGGTAGTTTGTATGCTATGGCACTAAGGGATATGCCTCATTTAAAAATCATCTTGCCCGGTGGCCTTCATGAAGCTACCCCCCCACCCCAGGTCAGAGTGTACACCAAGGCCTCCTCCCTCCTAATCTTGGTACCCTTCCCACCCAGCGCCCGTTCTCACTGGTGAGGATGACAATGCCTGTGATGAACAGCACAGCTGCAACCAACAGCCCCCGTTTCCGGAGAGTGGCCTCATCTGCAGAGAGGAAAGTGGAGGAGTATGGTGAGAAGACCTTCACCCTTCCTCCCCCTGCATCCTCCATGGGCAACTTACCATAGGAGAAGGGGTCATCCTCACTTGAACCTACAGGGGACAGACAGGGAGCAAGTCAAAATTCAGGAAAGGTCTGTGGAGTGAATCAGTGAATGACAGGGTCAAGGAGAGGGGTCACCTGTGTCTCAGTGTTGGTGCCCTTAGAAGAAAACCCAAAGTCCTCACGTGGGACACAATCTGGTTTGATCGCCTCTCTAACTTCACCTCTTCACTCTCCCCTCATCAGTTGCTCCAACCCTCCCTGTGAACTGCCAGACCACTTCTACCCCAGGGCCTCGGCACTGACTGCCCCCTCTGCCCAGAGCCCTCCTCCAGATATCCTAATGGCTTTCCCTTCGACTCTTTCTCAGAGAGGCCTTCCTGGCCCTTTACAAAAACATTAACAGTCACTTTCTCAGCTCAACTGTTATATTTTTCTTGATAGCAACTTCAAAACCACATGGCATATAATCAATATGTTTATTATTTATTGTTTCACTCCCTGTACCAGAATGTCTGCTCCATGAGGACAGAGATTTTTGCTGTCTCCTTCACTGCTGCCTCCCTGGTACCTAATACAGTGCCTGGCACATAGGTAAGTGCTCAATAAATAGCTATTTAATGAATAAGTAAATGAATGAATGTGACACATGGACATATCATTTCCATCTGTTCATTGGGGTTGGCTGGTCAGGAAGTGGAAGATAGAACCACAAGGGGAAGAATCATGTCTCTAGAAACAGCTCCTTGCTGACCCCCAAGATGATCTCAGATGCCTAAGTCCAGAAGAGAGAACAGCCACCCAGCTGAGCCCAGACTTCCAGATTATAGACTCAAGTTTAGCTCTCAAGAATTAAACAAATGGTTGTCAATTTGAGTTATTGAGTTTTGGAGTGGTTTGCATGTAGCATTCATTCATTTATGTACTCATTCATCTATTCAGATATTTATTGCATGTCTTACCCTGTGCCCATCCTCTGCCAGCCTTGAAGTTAATGTATTCACCCAACATATGTTTACTGAGGACTATTCCGTACTGGGCAGTATTCCAGGTGCTAGAAATACACAGTGAACAGGAAATAGTTTGTTTCCAACCTGGAGAGTTACTGACCAGTTGTTCTGAGGGCAGGGGCTGTCGTGAAGTCCTGGTCTGGAAGCTGCTTGGAGAGTGTGGTGCCTTTAGTGGGGTCAGCAGGGTGAGTGGCTAGAGGTGGTAGAGGGCAGGAGTGAGCCATAGAGGGAAACAAGGGGCATCAGTTAACACCTGCATTTGTGAGAAACCCCTCTCCCACACCTACACCTTCAATGAGCAGGAACAGGTGTCCTCTACTGTAGCCACTGAAATCAGTAAGGAATGGACATATTGAAATAAACCCACATTCCCTGGTTAAAACCAGTTGACTCAATGTCCTGACCCCTCTCCTAGGACCCTGTGGACTGACCCATAGTCCAGGAAGTAAAGGAAAACATCTGTCATAGCCAGGCTGGGTGCCTCCAGGACCCTGGCCCAGTTACAGAGGCTGGAGGCACTTGTTATAAAACATTTTGAATATCACCTCTACTCCAAGGCCAAAATTCCAGATGATTCCTTTCTTTAAAAAAAAAATTTCCCCCCAAGACCTGCCCCCCTGGCACTGAGAAGTGTCCTCAGTGAAGTGGCTATTGTTGTCTGATAGCCAATCTCAGTGCCTTACCTCCAAAACATGAACCTTTGGCCAAGGATTCTGACATGTTCAGGAAAGCTTTGCTCAGAAGTAGGCAAGATCCATAGCAGAAACAGAGGCAGAAATTACAGAAAATGTAAAGGATAGCCTGGGCAGTGTGTGGTGCTCAGGCACCCCGGCACTGAAGAGCCCAGGCTGAAATTCTAGTTCTGCCCTTTAGGGCTATGGCCAAGGGCCCGCAGAGGAACCTCTCAGGTCTCAGCGTCTTCCCTGTAAAATGAGGTAACAACAGTTCCCACCACATGGGGTGGTTGTGAGTACATGAAAGCTTAGCACAATGTCCAGCACTGAGCAAACTCTCAGCCTATGTTGGCTGTTATTATCTACTTGGCACTCACCCCTCGATTCTTTTGGGAACAGCTTCCCCTTTCTTGGGTTGGTGTGGAGCAGGGAGAGGGGGGTGCTGCTCCAGCTTCCCTAGTCTATCTTTTTCTGCTGCTATAACCCAGGCCACAAGAGGGAGCATGTGACCCAGTGTCAACCTTTCCCTGGGACCTTGCAAATTCCAAGCAGGGATTGAGTGGAAGTTAGAAGCATGGGAAGCTCTGAGCCAGCAGATCACAGGAGCCATTTCCTTACAAGGTGGAAGACAGTCTCCAGCAAAAGAGAAAAAAAGATGGAGGGAGAGAGGTGCTGGGGGTTTTCGCACTCAGTCTCTGGGCCACCCTGAGGCTCAGCAATGCCTTTTACAACTTGGCTCCATGACCTGTCAGCTGAACTGAATTTCTGTCACACATAACCAGGAATATGGAACAACACATAGTAACTCAGACCAGCAAGGACTTGGAGCAAGTGAATCAGAGATGTGAAGATGTTTTCTCAATTGGAAAGTGTGGGCAGAATTGTCACACCCCCATCCCCACTTGCTCCCCAAGACCCTTTGTTTCCATCTCTCATAAAATTGTTTTAATAGACAGATTCTGTCAGAATGAGGTATTTTACGGCAATCACTGGAAAATTGTAACAACTATAAAAATTGCCATAGGGGAATGGCATGACCTCGGAGGTGGTGCTCCTATACAGGGCCCAGTCTGCACACCATGGATGTATCTCAGCCGAGGCTCAAGCCACAGTATTTCCCAGTAGGGGCTGCTCCTCAGATATGGAGCATCACACAGCCATCAGAAGCCACCTTCATCTAGGCTCAGCCCCCTTTCCCACACCTCTGATAACATTAGCTACTCGTTGTTCTTAAGGAGAGCCACCTCTTCCCTGATTCTTAGTGTGTGAAGTTCAGACAGGGCTGAGAGGTTTTCCATCCCCAGGGTAGGGGAACAAGACTGAGGTCTGACCAATCAGAGCAGTCAATTTCCCAGGTTGCCATTGGTCAGACATGGGTATGTGAACCCAGCTGGGTCAATGAAAGTCAATGCTAGACCTTGGGCTGCAGATGATGAGAAAGAGATGTGCTCTAGCTGCTGAGTTTGTAGGCTAAACAGAACTACAGGACCATCTTTGCCACCAAGAGGGAAAAAGTCACTTGAGAATGAAGACCACAGAGAGAAGGAGCAAGTCTGTCATGTTGACTTGAGCTTCTTGATCTAGCCATACCTGAAATTGGTCCTTCTGGACTTTACAGAACATATACAGCCAATAAGCCTTTCTTTTTAAGTTGGATTTTCTGTATTTTGCGATTGAAAAGCGCCTGCTCTCACATGAAGACATACACAACGGAAACATCCACAAGCCACTTTTCTAAGCACCAGCCCTGTGAAGGGATCTGAACAAGAGAGGGTACTGAGTCTATCAGGTGTGGAAAATGCTGCAAACTAGATGCCCCTCTTGGGGACACTTGCTGCAAATAAACTTTATTAAGACTCTGATAAATCCTGCCAGAAAGAAACGTGTTTAACTTTATCTCAGAGTTTCCCAAGCACCTTTGGCTGGAAACTAAAAAAAATTTTTTTGGAAGATATATTAACAATTCCCCAAACGGGTGCTCTGAGAAATGTCCTTAGGGGAATGCTGACCTAGATAGAGAATTAAACAAAACTTGTATGTTGCTGTTCTACTGCGAGGCTCTACCTTCCATCCCCGGAGCTGGGGTTAGAAACATATTCACTCCCGTCAGGTGCTGTGTCTGGGTCTCCGTCTGAGCTGCTGTTACTTCCACTGAGGTCAGAAGAGCAAGGGGGGGGGGATAAAAACGAAGTGAATCAACAATACATGCATCCACAGAACAGCAAGGGGCCCTCTCCCCGGATCCCACTGGCGCAAATCAAACACGTTCAGTAGCCAAGCAGCGCTGTGGGAGTGAGAACGTGGGACTTGCATACTGCTGGTGGCAGGGCAAGTTGGTGCAGCCAATTCCAAGTGGCTTTGAAAACAAATTTTAGTATTCATGTCCTTGACCCCATAGTGTTGTAGGCAAAAGCAGGGTCAGGCTCCTGCACCCTGATCCCAGCCATGTCACTGACATGCTGTGACATCTTAGATGAGTTACTCTGAGCTTCCATGTCTCTGTCTGTAAGGTGAGGATAATGGGCCTCAGAGGGTTTGTGGGAGGACTGCATGAATGATCAAGGGTAAAATACTTGGAACCAAAGTGGTGTAAGCGACCAAGGTGCTCATCAAGACATGCATAGCTTCATTAACTGTGCACCGCACCCTGCGGAGAACACAGCAGCGAAAAAAACAAAGATCACTGTCTGTATGGGAATGTGGGGAGAGCTTCCATATGTTATTTCGGGGTGGGGGGAGCAGAATAACAGTCATTTAATATCTTTAAGCTCATACAAATATACCTCCTGGTCAGCATAGTTTCTCCAGACACACATGATACAGTCTCATTGGGGAACAACCCCCAACTCCTTGCTAATAGTGGGGGCCTCCCAGAGATGGGGGAGAGAACAAGATGAGGAATGAACAAAGAGATTTTGTCTTGCCTACCGCAATTTATTATTTATGAGGAGAATGTGTTTATGCACTACTGTATCATTAAACATTAATGGAAAAAAATTGAAAAGCACTTTTTGAATTATGTTAGACTGCAAGAAAAAGTTAAAAAATGATTTGAAAATTTTAAAAAAGGAAAAATAAAGAGATTAAAGTAAGAAGTACATGGAGTTGGCCCATGAGAAATTTGTGGAGTATTTGCAAAGTTGCATTTCTTGACCTGGTGGTGGTTATACGGGGTTCAATTCAGAATAATTTGCTAAGTTGTACATTTATGGTTTTTGTACTTTTCTATATGCATGGTGTTTTTCACAACTCCAAAAGGTTTTTTTTAAGTGAATGGAGTTGGCTGTTCCACCACAAATTAAACCAGGGCATTCAGAGCTGGGGGGCTGAAATGGGCAACCAAAGACCCAGGGTGGCAGAGGAAAAGGGGAAACAATGTCTGTCCCAAACCCCCCTACCCCTGTACCACTGTCCCACTCACCACTAGCCTGCAGGGTTGAAGTCTGGAGTTCTGGGCGAACTGCATCTGAAGTCCAGAAACAGGGAGAGAAAAGAGAAAAGATACGAAGAAAGTCCATGAATGGTGGGCAGTACAAGGGAATTTTACCTAGCAACTCAATTTTGATGTAATGGGAATGACTTAATTAACTCAGCCATTTCTTCATTGCCTAAATGCAATGCAGCATCTCCCCTGCCCTAGGCCCTGTCCTCCCACAGATGTCCATTCCTCTTCTCAGTATCCACCTGCCCCTGGTAAGAGCCCCAAAACTTCCTTTGGGAAGTTCCCATCCTTCCTTCCCTGACTCTTGGTCTATTTAGTTCATTGGGGCTGGCACCAGCCCAGCTGGAGGTTGAACGTGAGACCCAGGTGTGGCTAATAAGCTGTACCTGTGGCCACAGTGATAAGCTCACTGGTGGGCCATGGCCTGGGCCTGGTCAATGACACTCAGTCCTAGGACATTTACTGGATTGAGGAAGGGGAAATTCTCTTCCTTTGGATCTTTGGCAGGTAGAATGAAAGCCCCAGGTATCTAGGTGCCATCTTGGCACTATAAGAGGAGAATCTGCCTGAGAATGAAGCCAGCACAGAGAAAACAGAACCGAGAGATGAGGACAGGTTCCTGATAGCATCATTTGAGAAGCTAGATCAAGTCATGCCTGAAGGTATATCCCTGAACTTTCAGTTACACAAATTCAAAAAGTCCTTTTTGGTCCAGCTTGAGATTTTTGTTGCCACTGTTATTTGCAATGACAGGATCTTGCCAGACCTGTCCCTCTTTCCTCACCTGGGGTTTGAATCAGGGCATGGACGTTCACAGTGGTTGAGTCTGCTAGAGGATTGGATGTGGCCTCCTCCAATGTCTGTCCTAAGAAACCAAGAATGAGAAGCCAGGGAGGAGCCTCTGGTCCCCCTCTCATCAACCCCCACCCTGCCCTCCCTTCTGAAACCTTGGCGGGTAATTCAGGAGGTCTTTCTGCTGGTGGAACAGCAGACAGCTCTTTGATTGATCAGATCTGTTGGTTTCAATCCATGATCCTGGAATTGTTCTAAGAAATGCTAATGTCCCAGCACCCTTCCTCCAGCCCCCTTTCCCTGCCATCCTTGTGGGATGGGAGATGGTTTAGCCCAGGTGCTAGAGTCGCCAGAATTCTGATCTCAAATTCTGTTCCCAACACCCTCCTTGCTGTGTGACCTAGAGCAAATAAAGACCCCACTCTGAGCCTCAGTCACCTCAACTGCAAAGTGAGGATAATTGAATCTACTCAGGGCCGTAGAGAGGCTGAAGTGAGATGGAGCGGGGAAGAGTCTCCTCTACTGCTTAATATGCAGTCAGTGCTGGATACAGCCACTGCCTCGCCCTGTCCCAGCCTCCGTCCTCTCCCTCCTGGAGATCACAGCCATCTCCTCCCTGGTCTCCTGCTCTCATTCTTTCCCCCACAGTCTGCTCCCCAGACATGGCAGATGAGAAAGCCTGAGAATGCCTGAGGCAGATTGCGGCTCTGCTGGCTCCGAGAGCCTGCCCCTGGCTGCACCTTTCACTTGGTAAGAGCCAAAATCTTTACCCTGCTTATAAGTACCCCCTCCATCTGGTCTCCTGTCATTTCTCTGATCTCTCCTTTGCCCACCCTGCCCCTTGTTCACCCCAACCAAACCACCTGGCCTGCCTGCTGTTCCTCACACTCACCAGGTTCATTCCCTCATCTCCTTCAAGTGCCTGCCCACATATCAACTCCTAGTGAGGTCTTCTCTGACCGCCCTATTTAAACAATCCTCATTCCTCTCCTCTATTTTTCTCCATACCACATATCACCTTCTAGCAGTCTACATAATTTAATGATGGGTTATTTACTTTCTATCTTTCTGAAATAGAATGTGAACTCTTGTTTTATACATTGCTGTTTCCACAGTGCATGAAATAAGATGTGGCACATAGTAGCTGATCAACGAATACTTTTGAATGACTGAAGGAATACATGAAAATCATTTTATCTAAGAGAACTGGGGCAGTCAGGGGAGAGCAGGCTCTGGGTTCCAGGGACAAGCAGGATGATTGGATTCCAGTCCCTTCACTCACCTCTGGCAAAGGCACTTCCCTTAGCTGAGCCCATTTCTTCATTGTAAAGGAGGCAGGACAATATGTATAATACAGTGACGTTGAAGCCTAGGCCAGTTTCCTCACACTGCCATGTAGAAAGCACCTGCCGATGCCACCATAGCTATTTTCTTCAGGAAGGACTTCCCAGGCAAAGGGGAGACATCTCCAGCTCTTGGGCTGACCCTGGCTCACCCCTTTTGCCTAACTGCATATCACCCAGGGATCCAGAGAGCTGTTCTGCTAAGAGCCCAGGGTTCCTGGCTGCTGAGTAGAAAACTGACACCAATCTTCCTGCCAAATCAAACTCAGTTCTTCTTGGAGGTAAAATGGAGGCTGCTCAGCAGGACAAGCTCTGGCCAGACTTGTTGGAAGCAGCCACCCAGGTCTGAGATATCCAAAAAGGGTGTAGTGTTGGCCCCTTCATCAGAACCCCTACTTCCTGGTGCCAGCTCAGTTCGGGGGTGAGGACACAGGAGAGTGCACTCAGGTAGAGCTGGGAGCTCTGAAGCAGGGTGGAGACAAGGGCCAGGACTTACCTCTGGTAGGGAGAATCAGACCAACAATGGTGAGGAGATACAGGCAACCAGAGGGCGACATCTATGGGGAGAGCAGGAGTTGGGGTCAGCCATGATGTTAGGGAGGCAGGCCCAGGGCAGCCCCCATCAATCCTGTGGGGCCGCTTCCCCCACCTGAGCAGGTATCTCTGGCTTCAAGGACCCCCTACCAGGGCTGACAAGAGAGTCTCAGAAGTGAGGGTTCCCAGCCGCCATTCCCCTCTTCCCTCTTCAGGTCCCCAAAGAAAACAAGACACGTCAGACCAAACTGGGCTTCCAGTAGCAGGCACTGTACACAGACACCCCTGAGGCAGAGAAGCACTCACCCCACCCAGATTGATACTGATGGCCACCAAGAGGGGTCTGGGGCACAGGAATAGATCCTGGGGCCTCCTCCCTCCCTCTGGGGCTGTCCCCAAGAGGAGGAGTCAGCAAGGAACGGAAAAAGGAAGAGTGAGTAATGTGCTCCTGATCTCAGAGGAAAAAGTGACTGGTATCAGGACCTCAGAGCAGGGACAATAAAACTGGATGCTGGGCAGATGTGGGAAGGAATGGTCGCAGAGGGACAGAGGAGAGCTGGGGAGGGAGAGGCAGGAGGGAGAGAAGCAGGGCATCGCTCGGTGGCTGTAAGGCAGAGCAGGCCGGGGAAGTGAGCATGAATGGGGGCAGAGAGGATCCTCTAAGACCAGTCTTTACCCACCTGGGCCCGGGCCCTGGGCAGAGGGGAAAGAGTGGAGAAGGGTCAGAGGAGAGACTTACACTTTCATCCGAGCTGGGGGTCTGAGCCGACAGCCTCGTGGACAGTGGGCAGCTGCCGCAGCTGCGCCCAAGCGGAGGGTGTGGCCAGGAGAGCGCGGGCAGGCGGGCGGGTGGGCGGGGGACCCAGACGGGCTCAGTCATTTCCTCTTGGGTTTCCTGGCTTCAAGAGCCCGGGGTAGGAGCAGGAGGCGGGGAGACGCCAAGGGTGATGGGGAGGGGGGCAAGGGCGAGAATCAGGGCAGTGACCTCCACCCACCCTGCCCGGGGCTGACAGGTCTTGGTTGGGTGGGGCGTCTTTGGGGAGGGGGGCGGGGAGAAGAGGAAGGGGTCTAGTAGGGCCTCGGGTGAAGAGAAGAAAGGGTCAACTGGGAAGAGGTCGTTGAAGGAGAGAAAGAGAAACTCAAGGGGCTCAAGAAAGAGGAGGAAACCACTGAAGAAGGAGGAATAATTCCGGGGGCTTGGGCGAGAGACCCCCAGGTTCAGTTTTGTCCTTCCCCCATTTCGTCCCCACAGATGAGAACACACAGACAGAACAAGGGGGAAAACCGAATGCACATTTATTTAGCTCAAGACGTAGACACCGAGGTTGCAGGGGAACGGCTCTTCGGAGAGGAGACAAGGAGGTGCAGAGGGGAAGCACACGGGGACCCTGGGGGCGGGTTGGGGGTTGGACTCTTGGACTCCAGGGACTGGAGACCTGAGTCCCTGGGTCTGGGATGCAGTTGGGGGTCTTTGGGGGATCGTCATTGCCAAGGCCTGGGGAGGGGCAGCAGGATGCAGCGGCTCCAGCCTCGGGGTGGGTGGGGCGGTTCATTCCGGAGATCGCTCCCAGCGTCGCAAGGCTGGGATCCCCACCGCCTCCACCCGGTCCTCAGGCTCCCACACTCAGGCAGGGACAGCAGTGGAGGTGCCGGAGGCTGGATTTACACGCCACCACCTCCAGGGGCTGGAGAGAGAGAGAGAGAGAGAGACAGAGAGAGAGACAGAGAGAGAGAGAGAGAGACAGAGAGAGACAGAGAGAGAGACAGAGAGAGAGAGAGAGAGAGAGAGAGAGAGCGCGCACTAGCCTGGGTCAGCGACTAGAGGGGTGGAAGCAGCCCTCTCCACAGAGCCAGTGAGCCCTCCATCCCCACCATGGAATGAATCCAAGTCCCCAAGGACTGACACCCTTGAGCTGTGTTGCATCTCTACTCTCTAATGTGTGGTCCATATAGGGACACCTGTGTGTCTTTGTCCTGCCCCATAGGACACTGTCATAGAGGGGAACACACCTGTGAGGAGATGGGCTTTTATGGGGCTTCCACCTGCCAGAGAGGGAGTCTCTATCTCCTTCCGGCGCCCCCAAAACTCCTCCTACACCTCCCTTACGCACACCCAGCCTCCTGGTGATTGGGACACAACAGGAACTCCCCTGTTTCCAGCCCATGCAAGACCATCACCCAGCTGGAGTGGGTCAGAATCCTGTACATAATCTTAGACCCAGGCGTCGGGGCCACCTCCTCCGATCATCCACAAAGTGCCCCCTTAATGTTTTTAAGTCTCATTGAAAGAACATGAAACAAAACACATGAAATTCCCCTCACCAAATCCCCCCAAATATTGATACCCCAAAGCCCATTTTTTTAGTTACACGAACTTTCTAAGAGGCAGAGATATTCCCACCTGACTTTTTTAAGTCCCATGAGAGAACGCAGTTCCACTTAAAACAGGTCGAGATATTTTTACATAATTAAAATTAACACCCCCAAGGAGTCACAACCTTTCATCTACATGCTTGTCTCTCCCCCACAGCCTGCACCTCTCTCCATCTTCCTTTACACCTTTCATCCACCTGCACCCACTCTCCCCCTCCAACACCTCCACCCCTTCTATACCCCCACTTCCCCTCGGGACCCACCCCTCCTACATTCCATCCTCCTCCCACCTCCATCCCCCTGATCCTCACCTTCCATCTCTTTTTCTCTTTATCCCCTTCTTATACTTTCTATCTTTTCATCCTCATACTCCTCACATCGATTTCTAAAAATATGTATTCTATACATCTCTCCTTTTGTTATTCAGAAACCCTTCCTTCCTTCACCCCTTCCTCCCTCCTCCCTCTTTCCCTTCTTCCTTTTTCTCTGTCATTTCATCCTGGATCTTCCAAATTGAACAATTAAGTCTAGAGAACATTCTGTCTTTCTGCTTCTCTGGTGCTCAACTCTGTCTTCGTTCTGACGGCAGAAGTCCTTTTCCCATGTGGGGCCCCTCTCTCTCCAGACTTATGGCTTTCTGCTCTGAGGAATTAGTTCATCCTTGCTTTATAGGCTTATGTACTTGTTTCTGGGATGCTTAGTGGACTCTTTAGGACATTTCATATTCCACTGACTCTTCCTGGTTTAACATTTTTGATCTGCGGGGTTTTGGCCTCTACTAAACTTCCCCTGTCCATCCATTGGGTTAATGGCCCCATTCTTAGGGACATCCAATGAAATTCTCCTTCTCACGACTCCCCTTTCTGCTCCCACCTGTCCTCCTCCCAGAACCACGCACTTTCTCACCCTTACCTGAGGAGGGAAGCTCTGACTTACAGGACTTGCACGTTGGGCTATGGAAGCAAAGATGGAGAGAAAAGCACAAAGAGCCTCAATAGCTGCAGGCTTTACTGAAAACAAAAGGCAGGCCCTAGGCCCCTCTGTTACTGCTCCCGCCCCTCCTCCTCCTCTCCCCACTGCTGCCAGACCTCTCAGACCTGGAGTCCGCCTTCCTGCACTTCACTTTCTTGCCTGTTAAGAGAGAGATAAATAGAACAAGAAGACAGGATGTAAGGGTCTGGTCAAAAGCCAGCAGGGGAACTGTAGGTGCCTGACCCCGAAGTTGTCGTCCGTGAGGGGTTTTAGAGCCCAGGAAAGGGTCACACTTACTGATGATGATGAGGATGCCCAGCAAAAACATTATGGTAGCCAGAGTCATGCCCACAGTCTGCACAGTGTCATAGTCTGGGGAAGATAAGGGGGGACATCAAAGTGTGGGTGGCACCTCAGTCCCCCTCCCCCAGCCTGGCTTCAAATACGCCAGACAGAGGTCCAAAATTCAGGGATGCTGCAGGCTGTGCTGGAGGCTCCTCCAGTGGGTTAGTGTGAGGATGGATCTAGCTCTTTTGTCCTCTCTCTCACTTACCCCCCTCCTCTGGTGTCGTGGCTATATATATACACATATATATACCTCCTCCTTCTACTGCCTCCTCCCCGGTCCTGTCCACCATTATCGCATGTCTGGACTACTGCAGTGAGCAACCTTCTCTGTGATCTCCCCCCATCCCACCCCTTAGCCACAGAGATCTTGTTAACACCTGAGTCAGATCATGGTCCTCCTCAGCTCAGAGCTGCCCCTCTCCCCTCCCCATATTTACTGCACTGCAGGTAAAAGCCAAAGTCCTCATCACAGCCCACAAGGCCCCGTAAGATTTAGCATTCTCAGGTCTTGCCCCATTATACTTCCCTTCAACCCCCTAATTCCAGACACACTGGCCTCCCTGCTATTCCTGGAGCATATCGGGCATGGTCTTACCTGAAGGCCTTTGCACTTGTTGTTCCCTCTACCTGGAAGTTCTTCCCCCAAATATCCCTTCCTTGCCAACTTCTGGGCTTCATTCAAATGTCAGTGAAACCTCTGGCTGTCCTGTTTAGAATTTCCCATTCTCTTCTCAACACTTTCTAATCTCATTCTTTCTTTATAAGAATTATTTGTGTCTAATTATACCACAGTAAAATTTTTTTGAAAAATTAATTTATGGAGCACCCTGTCTGTACCAGCAATGGTCCAGGCCTCTGCCCTCAGGGAGTTGACTTTGTTATTGTGATCAAGCACTAAACAAAAAATTGAGTCATGTGACCATGTGTAGATATGGCATGGCTCCTCTTGCCTGGGATTCAGGGAGGGCCTCTTAGTTGAACACTCAATATTTGATCTGAGACCTGAAGAAGGAAAAGTAGCCTTAGCCAGCTGTGTGAAGAGCTGGAGGATGAGTATTTCCATCACAGAAAGAGCAAGTGCAAAGGCCCTGAGGTGGGAAAGCACTTGACATATTAGAGGAACAGTATGAGTGAGCAAAGGCAGAGGGCAGGAAGGTGTTTAGGGAGAAAACTGGGTCCAGGTCTGCTAGACCTGGAGGTATTTTCTTTGAGCTTCTATGTTGTAGGAATGATTTAATGGCATCATCCAAGTAAGTCTTTCCCACAATCCTCGTAGGTGGGAACAACTACTTTCCCTTATTTAAAGAAGAGCTCAGAAAGGCAAAGTAGCTTGCTCAAGGCCACACAGCAAGTGAGTGGATAAGCCAGGATTCAGATTAACCTGGTCTCAGAGCTGTTTGCTACTCTGATGACCCCAATGCACCAGCCCAGAGTCCTTGTGAAGCATGAAGCAGACCCAGAGAAGGTACCTACAACGTGATTCTGCCCTCCATGAGCCCAGCTGATGTGAACTGTATCCACATGGTCACATGGTGAGTGGCCCAGCCCATATCAGCCACCACTGAAGCCACTTCAGCAGTGACCCGTGGGGATCTGCAGCCACCCCTCCATCCAGCCCCAGGGTACCCTCATCACAGAGTCTGCCACTCACCATAGTAAAATGGGTCAGGTTCCTGAGGAACTGGGAAGGAAGGCAGAGAAAGAGAGAGAGGGAAAAAATATTTCAACACTGCGTTTCTTAACATTTTTAGGATCCAGATGTGGCCACTGGTCCAATTGTTCCTGTGCAGAAATAAGATAAAGAGACCCCTTGCTCTGGCTGCTATAACTTAATGGCAGGACACAAGGCTTGAAGCATAGGATGGATTCCAGTCCCCACTTAAGACATTAGTTTGTACCTTCCCTTGTACGATGCACAACCTACCCAACCACACATGGCAGTCCCGGTGCTAGTCCTCTGTGGAGGTCTTTTGCAAGTTATGTACTTATTTCCTGAAAACGGCATAATCCAATTTGCTTATGATGCTGGGGTAAAGAGACTCCACTACCACCGGGGTGCTGCTGAGTATATCAGCTTCCCCTGAATGCTCCCTAAAATCTCTCAGTCATCTGAGAGCTCTCAAAGGCAGGCACTGCAGCTACTGCTCTCATCCACCCACTTCTGCAACCAAGTCCAGCACCAAGGAGCTGTCCTATAATATACTCTGTATTGTGTTATATATAATGTATTTTATGTTACTTATTTCTAAGACATTCCCAATTTTAAGATTTATAATTGATTTTGTAATAGCTTCCCCAGTGTGTGTGTTATGCATGAATACATATGTAACTGTACCACATGAAACACACCCATCTATTAGAAGACTCACCCTCACTTCATAAATGCTAATGTATGGGTTAAATATGTGTATATTCGGATTTACTTTTTTCCATCTCCCATCTCCATGTCACAAACCATATTCCCCTTCAGGAGAGCTCAGAACATCCTTCCCATTCAAGAACCCATCCTGATGGCTCCCGAATTCCTCCGACAACTCTTAGTACAGTCTGCCTTGTCTAGAGCAGAATTCTAAGGCACCACTAGGGGAGAGGTACCAGCGATGCCAGGTGTTGTCACTAGTGTTCTTCCCCCTCCAGGCTCAGGGAGAGATGGCTGCCTTGAGGTGGGGTGGGGGGGGCATGTGACTAATTCTGGCCAATGAATTCTAAGTAGAAATGTTATCATCCCTTCCAGTCTGGAGCATTTAAGAGCCCGTATAAGAGGTCCTTTTTGACTTTGGCATGGTGACATAAATGTTCAAGATAGCAACTGCTCCAGTTTTCTTTGGTAAATAGAGACCCCCAGCTGACCTGTGACAGTATAAGTGAGTATAGTATAAGTGAGAAATAAACCTTGGTTATCAGAAGCCTCTGAGGTTTTTAGTACTATATGTTACCCCAGCATGCTCCATCCTAAACTGACTGATACAGGTGGCACCTAGACAAGACAGTGAATAACACTGATTCACACAACGTGTATGTTCACCCTTCTCTGTTCTGTCCAGTCTTCAAAAAGCAAGTGTTAGGTAGGTGCTGGTGTGTCTTTAACACCTTCCAACCCTGTTAATCTCCCACTTTCCCCAAGAGAACACAGGCCTTAGGCTCAGAGACTTCAGTAGGCAACAATATCTAAGTAAAATTTCTTGACATTATTTGGTTTTCTCCTTTATTTATTATCTAACCAGCACTTGATAGCACTGACTCCATGCCAGGCTCTCTTCTAAGCACTTTACAGGTATTTACACATTTAACTTTCACAGTAGCTCTCTGATGTAGGTGCCGTCTTCATCCTCGTTCCAGAGAAGAGGAACACTAAGGCCCAGAAAAGTGAAGTCATCCATTTATGAACATTTTTATACTTGCCTTCAATTTAAGGCAAAAAAAAAAATTCCTTATTTTCCATTTGTGGTGGTAACTTAACATAAACCTAATTAAGTTTTGTAAAAGTTAATCCTTTGATAAAAAAATATTAAACAAATAGCAGTGTGGGGAACATTTGGATAGAGCAAAAATCATGAAGGTTGTACTCAAAAGCATCAAGATGAGAAAACAATATTTTAGAGTCATCTGTGTTCTGTCTTGGTTCCTCCACAAGAGAGGGAGTACATTCGTTTGACTCATCTCTGTTGTTAATCCTGGAATTTATAAAAGTCTCTTGAAGAAATTTTTAAGGAAGAAAGAAAGAAAAAAGAAAGGAAGAAAGGGAGGAAGGGTTCCTTCTGGGCTGCAGGAGACTGCATCCAAGGTGGAGCAGTTGGATTATCCTGCTTTTGTACCCTGTGTTTCCATACACCTTCCCTAACCCAAAGCATCAGAAGCCCCCTGGGTGAGGGCTTGTCCCAGAATCCTCTTTGGTTCCTCCCTGGCTCTTCAGTGCTCCATATGGAAGTTCTTCTGGTCCCTGCTGCCCCAGCAATCTGGGTCCTGAGGGCGAGGCTGGGCTAAGGGTGGAGCCAGGAGGCAGGAGACGGAATGTGCACAACTCCTGGCCAGTTGCCAGAGACGCGAGGAAGGAGGTGGTTGCTATGGCAACTGGGGCATCTTGAGAGGTGAAGAGAGGTGAAGGGTTCTGGTACCCCAGGCTAGGTGGGGTCCTGTGGGAGGCTTAGGGGTCAGGTTTCTAACTCAGGGGCCAATCTTGACTCACTCTGTTCCCTTTTTACCTCCCTTTGTTGCCCCTGCAGGGCTGGCTTCTGGCCAAGCTGAGAGTCCTTCTCAGGGATAGGGACCCAGGCCCAGTGGAGCTCCTGCGTTCCCTGTTTGCCTCCTAACTCTCCCTCCTGCTCTGTGACAGGTTGGCAAAAGACTTCACTTTTCCTTCTTTCCCCCTCCAGCAATCCATTATTTAGTTTCCTTAAGCAGTTTACAAGGCACCACATGTTTTCCTTGCTTTGGGATTTCCCAAGACCTGTGGCCCCCTCTTATGCTGTAACTGGGGAAAAGGTGGGGAGAGTGGGGAGCTGAGGCATCTGTCCTCCCACTTCTGCCTGCCTGCTGTCGTTGATCCTGCTAACCATCTCCACAAAAAGAAGTCCTGGGCTCCCGCCAGGCCTGCTGGCTCAGCCCTGCCCCCTCTCCCCAGGGTGGCTTCCAGCCTCTGCAGCCCCCCCACCCCCGCCCTGCTTCGAATTCTGCAGATATGGCTCAGTGCAGCAGCCCCTGCCTGCCGGGAAAGGGGGCAGGGAGGGAAACGTTGGGGTGGAGTGGAGTTTCCTCAGCACTGATAGCCTATCCCCTGGCCCTGCTTTCAGTGCTGGAAACCCTTTCCCTGCCCCCTACCCTCAATTAAACCAATCTTCCCCCTTGCTCCTCTGAAGAAGCTGGTTCAGGAAAGGAGGCTCTTCGGGGAGAGAGCCTGTTTAAGTGGGTGCATATAACTGGGTTAATGGGTGTGAAACGCAAATCGCTGTGGCTGGATGCGGGTGGGGAGGAGCATCTGTGTGCACCCAAATGCACCTCCCTGGCCAGACAACACCCCTGAATAGGGACTGGAAAGGAGGGTCCGTCACCCAGTCCTGCCCTTGGGGGCTCACTGCAGTGGTTCAGGCCCCACCCTGTGCTGCCCCTCCTCCTCTCTCTCTATTCCTCTCTGGCGCTTTCAGTCTGTCTCTCTCCTGCTCTGTCTTTCTCTATGCCTCCCTCTCCATAGTTACCTCAGTCTCTGTCTCTGATTTTCTCTCTTTCTCTGCATCTCTGTCTATTGCTCTCTGCCTTGCCCCTTCAATCTTTCTGAATCTCTGAGTCTCCTATCTTTCTTTTTGGGTCTCCTCTCTTTTTTGGTCTCTTTCAGGCTCTCAGTCCGCCTCCTTCTATATTCCTTTCTGTCTCCCTCTTTCTGTCTCTCTCTCACTCCCTCCATCTGCCTGTCTTTCCCTTTTTCTCCCTTTTCCCGCTGAACCTTCTGTCAGGAATTTCAGGAAACACACCCCATTAAGAGCTAGCTCTGGGAAAAAAAACGGGGGATATGGACCCCCTCCCCTTGCCCACCTCAGGGACCATGAATGGGCGAGAACCTCTGCGGCTGTAGACTCACTGGCCTTCAACCTCAAAGCCCACCTCTTCGCGTCCACTCCTATCGCTGTGCAGGACCAGCTACCCGGTTGCCATAGCTACCGGTCCGAGCATCCTTTCTCTTGGGACTGACGCTCTCCGACCGCGGGTCCCGCGCAGGAACCACACCACCGGGAGAGGGTGTACGAGAAGCCCAGAGGGGCGCCAAGGAGTGCACTGCAGGGGCCTCCGCCCATGGGAGGAAAAGACGTCCTCTTCCCCACTCCCCTCCCTTTCCACTACTGATAGCTCCCCAGATCCTCTCTCCGAAGCTCTAAGATCCCGGAGCCCCCCTGCGCCCTCTCCCCAGGCGACGCTCACCCTTCGTGGGGGCCTGGGTTGGGGTCGCCATGCCGCGCTGGAGCAGGGGGCGGCCGGATGCCGAAGCGATGAAGGCGCGGCTACAGCAGCTGGAAGCCTGACGGACTGAAGTCTGGCGGAGATCGGGGAGCCCTGGTGTGGGGGGGGGGACCGTAGCCAATGGGGGCCCAGAGAGCCCGCCCCCGTCCAGGCCACCCCCGCCCCCGCCCATTGCCGCGGTCCCCGCCCCTTCCCCACGGGCGGGGCGCCCCCTGCCGGGTCCAAGGGGGTGCCTGCCCAGGCTTTCGGGCAAGGGACTGACATCCACAAAATGCTGTCAGGAGAGAAAAGCACGTTTTATTGGAAGTCTGGGCGGCAGAGAGGAGCCGGTGGGGTCTGAGCTGGGGAAGAGGGCAGTCCAGGTGGCAGTGGGTGCGCGGGTGGTGGGTGGGAGGCGTCAGGTGCCGGGAATCCTGTGAGGGTGAAACGGCTGACAAGCAGGAGAGCCCCGCAGCCCGCGACCCCCGCTCCTCTCCCCTCCCTTCCCCAGCCTGCTCAGGGCTGCGGGGCCCGGCGGGGTTCCATCGCGCCACGTGTTTCTACCGCCTGCGGGTGGACAGACCTGAGGGGGAACACAGAGAGTTCGGGTGTCAGGACGGGTACCCCGGTTCCTGTGGAGGGGGGAGCGGCGGGGAAATTCTCCACCGTCCGGTTTGGGATCCAGCCCTCCACACGCCCAGAGTGGGCCAGGAACCAGGGTCTTGGAACCAACCCTCACCCCGAAACACCCGAGATGTTCCCAGACTCACGGCGGATGGAGCTGCGGAAAGTTCCCTCCTCTTCATCAGGTTCTCCAGTTCTGGGAATAGAGAAGTAGAGGGGCTTGGGGCTGGGAAAGGAGAGGAATAGCCACTCCCAGAAGTCCCCCTAATGCAGAGCTCGGTTCACAGAAGGGTTACCCCGAGGCCGAGGTGGGCGAGGAGCCGCTCGGGCTCGGCCAGGGCGTCAGAACCCTGGGCCCTTCGAGAGTGTGACAGGAGCGCCTCCCGCGCCCCCGCGCGCGCCTCCCGGAGCGCGGGGGAAGGGACTGGGAGCCGTCGGGGGAGGCCGGCCAAATCGGACCCGAGGGGCAGGCGGCCTCGACATGGCCTCCCCTCCTAGAGGAGCAGTCTTGGGCACGTGATTTACGTCTCCGTGCCTCGGTTTCCTCATATGTGGAATGAGGTTAATAACAGCATCTAACTCAGGGTATCTGGCAACTGGGACATGCCCAATAAATATTAGCTATTATTTACGATAACATCTATAATTGTTTTAACATGAAAGAGGTACTTATCCCTTTCCTGGGCTTTAAATTTTTATTTAAAGATGAATCAAAGAGCTAGCAAAAAGACTGAGCTCATCTGGGCCACCAAGTGCTGATCTCATTTAGCCGCGGCTCTTTCACAGGACTCATCACGCTTTGTGACTTTCTATTTGCGGAGCAGTTGGAGCCTACGGCCACCGCCTCCACTGGGCTGGGAGCTCAGCCGGGCAGAGAGGGCAGTTAGTTCATTGCTACGTCCCAGGACCTCGCGTGGGGCTTGGCACGTAGTAGGTGCTTAATACAAATTTGCAGAAGGGTCGTGCTCTGGCTGCGGGTCGGGTGGACTGCAGGCGGCACCCTCAGAGCCCTGCAGGAGCGGCAGTAGGTGAATGAGTGCTGGGAGGCCTCTTACCTCTGCTGCTGGTTGAATTTGCATCGGCACCTTCTGCCTGTTGAGTAGGTAGTGAGGGGAAAACAGGGCTAAGAGTCCGTTCTAGGCCGTCACCAAGGGGCGCTCTCGTTCCAGCGGGTGCTTGTGAGGGGCGGGGCCGCGGAGACAGGGGCCGGGCCAAGGGGGAGCGGGGGTCGAGGGTGGGAATAGGGGCGGGGCAGAATGGGGCGGGTCTGGGCGGGGCAGGAACTGGGCGCGCGGAGGGTGGAAACAGGGAGGGGCTGGAGGCGGGGCGAGGGCGGGGCTGGAGGCGGGGCGGGGCGGGGCGGGGCGGGGCGGGGGTGAAAACAGGCAGAAGCGGGGCTGCAGGCAGTGGGGGCACATACTGAGGATGATAAGAATTCCCAGAACGAAGAGAATCCCGGCGATGATAAGACCTCCGATCCTCAGCGATTGATAGTCTATGGGAGCAGGGAGGAGGGTGAGGGCACGAAGGGGAGGAGAAAGGATAGGAAAAGGGCAGGATGGGGAGGAGGGGGAGCAAGGAGGAAGGATGGGCAGGAGGGGAGGAGAAGGATCAATCAGAGGAAGGAGCATATATGGGAAGAGGGAGGAGGTGGACCAGGGAGATGAGAGTGAAGGGAGGGGAGGAGGTGGGCAGTGCAGAGAGGACAGAGATAAAAAGAGAGCAGAAAGGATGATGGAGACGATGAGGGGGACAGAGAAAGGAGAAAGAGCAGGAAGCAGCAGAGGATGGGCCATAAGATACTGAGAGGTAAAAAGAGAAAGAAAGAATCAGAGAGACAGAGGGGGATCATATAAAGAGACAGAGAGACACACAAAAAGAGGGAGGGAGGGGGAGGGGGAGAGAGAGAGGGAGAGAGAGAATGAGGACAAGACAGGCAAACCCAGCCCCCCACCCCAATTCCCAAAGATAGATGCTCCTCCCTCCCTCACCGTAGGTGAATGGGTCGTGTTCCTTCGGAGCTTCTGGAAAGAGAAAGAGAGATCAGGGGTTGGATGCTTCCTGGGATCATAAAGAGACCCTTTTGGGGACTCTACCAACCTGGGCTGAGAACTGAAGAACAGTTGGACCCTGAGCAGACTACCCACCCTCTGTTGGGTCTTAGCTACCCACTCTGCACTGTTCTGGGTTGGGTAGGGGGCACCCAACTGTTCCAGCTCCCCATACCATTACACATTGCCTGTGATTCCATCATTCTGGGGAAGCCAGCTACCATTCTACCCTTTACTTAACTTGGGCATCCTCCCCCCACCCCCCAATATTAGTCTGTTACTAGACACCATGTCAAAACCCCAATTTCTTGGTGTCCCAACGGACTCGGTTTAGGCTAGAGTCTCCAACTTGGTTCTCTTGCAGGGTTTCCCTGACTCTTGCCACCCTTGGGTCTGAGGTGGGTAATGGGCTGTCTCCCCATACTTACCTGCGCTAGTCATTGCAAGGAGACCCACACAAAGAACCAAGATGTGGTCGAGAGATGCCATTGTCCTGGGGGACACCAAGGGTGAGAAAATGTATATCCTTGTCCACCCACCCATCCACGATTGTTTCCTGAACCCAAGGGGTTAAGTCAGAGACAATTGAGACTTAATTCCAAAAGCATAGTCATCCACCCTGAGTAACAGGGACACCTCCAGCTATACCGGACACAGTGTCACCAAACAATGCACACATTGGGGGTCACATGGCAGCCATACGAGGATAAGGGTTAGACACACATAGCCCACAGGGATCTCCTGCAGGCCTGGGCCTCCCCACAGAAGGCCACAGATTCCTCACACCCATTCTAGCAGAGAGCAGGAGACCTCATCCTACCCAAATGGACAGACAGATATACTGCAAAGGACAAGACAGGTGGGACACGCCCAAGGGCCCACCTGCCCACACCACGGCCTCACTGTGTCCGAAATATCCCAGCTCTCCTGCTCTGGCCGCTGACAGTCACTCTGCCTGACCCTGGGTATAAATATCTCCCACTTCACTCTGGAGGAATTTGCCTTGCACAGGCCACCATGGCAACAGCCTTCCTTCCCCTCCTCGGGGTCACGCACAACCCTGCCGGGGAAAAGGCCACCCCTTCTCCTCTTCTGGAAACAATGAGAAAAGGGAAAAATATTTTCTCCACCCACCTCTGGGTGACATCTTTCATAAGCGGACAACACCAGGCGAGTGACATGAGATAAAAGACAGATGCCAGGGGCAAGGACACACACATGCACACATGGGCACATGCTCACGAATACACACACTGGGGCTGAAACGGGGACAGCGCCCATTCCCCACACTTCTGGTTGGACTAGGACATGGGGTGGAGACACAGACAGGCGCAAGTTACTGCTCATTTAGGCCTCCAGTGCCCCAAACAGTGACGCAACATGTGAATGTCCACAACCCACACCCAGCCAAGGGGCGGCAGCAGGGAAGGAAGAGGTTACACCCACACTCCTACCCCTGGGGGAGCCCAAATGTTCCAACCATACTCCCTTCCTCTTGGGTCAGGCCTGCCTGGGAAGCCAGGGCTGGCCTCTCCTGCTCCCAAAATAGGCTGCCTAGCCAGATGAGGGGTGAGGCCGGGAGGGGAGGGGTGGGAGATGCTCACCCCAATCAGGCTGTCCCCTGATGGAAGCAGGCCCCCAAGTCCAGCTGTGACCGGGAGAGCACTTTGGACCCCCTGGCCCAGAGCTGGATGCACCGCCCCCAGCGGTCTCCCCTCCCAGCCCCACCCCAGCCATGCCCTCCCCAACCAGCAGCTGTAACTGGAGCTGGTGCTGGAGGGGGGCCAGGGGGCGGCCCCCAGCCCAGACCGCCCTGGCCCGCTAGGTTAACTCTCTCCGCTCAGATGGAAGAAGAGTAGATAGCCACATGGGGAAAGCTGGAAAAAAGAGGTGCTGGCAGAGAGGGCTGAATTGCAGACACACGCGTGTGCGCACGCACATACACACACACATGCGTGCACATGCCTTGGGCCCACCTCAGAGAGCTTCTAAGCTGAGCTTGGAGGTGTCAGTGATTTTCTGTGGGGCTCCCTGGGAATTGGGCTCTGTCAGGGCCTAAGGTCACCTAGACTGAGTGTTGAGGAGCCCACTGACCCCTGACCCCTGTGTTCTTTAGAGCCCTGGTCAGCAAGCACCACAGGAAAGTTTGGGGGACATTTCAGTGTGTGTATGTGTTGTCCACTGCTGACTGTGAAGTCCCCCAGGAATGTGTGGACACACACACAGAAACCCACAGACCCAGATAAATAGGCAAAAAAGGCATGCAAATACATACATATATATGTATATATACACACACACTGAGTCAGACACACACAGAATAACACGGAGAGAAGCTCAAATACACACACAGCCAACACCACTTACACCAGTCACAAAAAAACAAGACAAACACATTTGTGTGCCTAAACAACATACACTCATATTCATTCAGATGGATACCTGTACTGGGGCACAATTAAAGACACAGCCACACAACGATCCCCTCTTATAAATGGTCACAAAGATACACACTCTTATGAAGACATCCTTACAAATGGTGTTACAGAAACACACCAATACACACATGCAACACATAAATAAACTCAAGACATAGGCACACAGGTACACAGCCAGCACTCCTATACAGTCTCAGAGATGTGAAAGCCCACAATCCTGTGTACACATGTACATTGACACACATATATTTACATGGCACACAGAGAAGCAGAAACACTGTCAAAGACACAGCAGACAACCACAAAGACAGACACACACACCTGTGATCACAACCTCATGCATAGGCAAACAAGCACACAGCTGGACACACAATCACAGACATACAGTCCTACATGCTTTTGTTTGCATATTGACTACATCAAACATGAGTTCATGTATTTAACCCTGAACTTCTCCTTCCCTGAGCTCATGTGACCTCTAGGGCCCCCTGGAGGACAACACAGTTTGTAGCCTCATAAGCAGGCCATGTCACAAGGCGAGGGTGACAGAGAAATCTGGGGTCAGGTCTGGACTCTGCCACTCCTGATTGTGTGAACTTGAGCAGTCCATATGATGTCTCTGTGCCTTAGTTTCCCATCCTATAAAATGGAGAAATCACTGAGATCATACAAGTAACCCCAGGCCAGGCTCAGAGGTCTCTGACCGGACATTGCCTTATTATTAATTCCATTTTAGGAAAGAGCAAGCTCAGGCTGAGCAAAGTGGAGCTAATTTTCCCAGGGTCCTTCTGGTGGCTTAGGGCAGAAAATGCCCCCCTTTCAGTCAAAGTGATCAGAAACAGGACCAGACCTCAGGTTCTGCAGGGCACCATGCGCATGCTCACATTCAGGCACAGGCATCGCCCTGGCACACACATACATGAGTGCACATGGCCTCAGAGGACTCAGGAGGCTTTGAAAGGCTCCTTCAGCCCTGTCTGTCTGGGCCCTCAGCCTCTGTCCCCACCCCCAGGCCTGTACCACAAGGTCGCCAGCAATCCCTGGTTAATGATAACTCTGATGTTTATGCAGCACTGGGGAGGAGTGGTGAGTGAGGAGGGAGGCACCTAACCAGCTCTAGCTAATCCTCGACTTCCTCCCCTCATAGGGCCAACTGCTTCAGAGTACAGTGGTTTAGCTATTTTCTATCTGTGTGATGTTGGGCAAATGGCTTAACCTCTCTGTGCCTCAGGTTCTTCTTCTGTAAAATGGAAATAATAATAGTATTCACCTTACAGGGAGGTTGCAATAATTATCTAAAATGATCCATATAAATCATTTAGAACAAAGCCTGGCACACAGGAAGTGACTATTATTATCGTCCTTGTCCTCCTTCTCATTGTAAACTGGGGTGAGAACCTTGCCGGGCTGGGCATACTGTGTGGATTTAGGCCTATCTATTCCCTCTGTGCCCCAGTACTAAGTTTTTTATCTTTTCAAAGACCCTCTAAGGAATTCATCATCCCTCATTTATAGCTGAGGTAACCAAGACCTGAGAGCCTTGCTCAAGTCACAGAGCTGTTTGGATGCAGGCATACACTTGGGTACAGAGTCCACCCCAAGCCCACTGACCACTGTGTGGTGTCCACCCTAAACTGCACCTCAAGCTGGGAGCGCGGCGTGCATTATCTCACTGAGTGTTCTACACACCTGGGAAGTAGGCGCCATGATTTCCCTGTTTGACAGATGGGAAAACTGAAGATCAGGGAGGCTGAAGGATTTGCCTAAATCCACACAGAACTGGGTCTGGAACCCCGATTTGTGTGACCCAGCCTGAACTTGTAGCCCTTTGTTTCCCAGGTTTTTTGGATGTGTACAGTAGGAAGAGAGAGGCTGTGTCTCTTGCTCAATGACAAGGGTGAGCGGTTATGTTAAGATGTGTCCAGTGCCATGAAACATTATTTAAATTCCTTGTGCCTCAGTTTCCCCATCTGTAAAGTGGGAATTAGTAATTCTACCTATCTCATGAAGTTGTTGTGAGGACTGAGTAAATTCATATAGAGACAGGCACACAGTAAGTGCTCAGTAAGTATTATTACTACTATTTTGGGTTTGGTAAAAAGTGCCATTTGTTTATTGTTCTTATTTAATTAAGAGAATCTATCCAAATTGCTAAAAGCTTAGTCCAAATAAAAACAACCATTATTTATGTGTTCTTATTTCTAAAGAAAAAATGCAAAACCATGTGGAGTCACTCTAATCGCTCCCAGACAGCCCCTACCCCGGGCACAGGATCCTGCTTGTGGTGCTGTCAGCAGGCGTGAATGGGAAGCTGGTGCTTGGGCTCCAGTCTTAGCTCTGCCCTTTCTAGGTAATCTAGACCTCAAATTACCTGACTTTTGTCCTCAGTATGTCCCTCTGTAAAATAACCATAAAATAGTATCAACCCTGGAAGGCTGTGGAGGGGTCAGAGGAGCTAATAGATTACCCTTCAGGACAGGACATGGCCCAGAGTCAGTGCTGTAGAAGGCGGTGGTGTTATCACTTTTTTTCTTGGGTTGACTCCCTACTCCCAGTGGGTGGTGGACACTCAAGGGGTTAATTTTGAACTGGCAAGAGAGGTGGGTTTGGAGCAGGTTAGCGCCTGCCTAGTGTGGCCACCAGAGGGAGCAGCTGGACCTGAGCTGGCCCCTCCAAGCCTGTTGACAGCACTACAAGCAGGGTCCGGTGCCCGGGTAGGGGCTGTTTGGGAGTGACTAGGATGACTCCAGCCCACAAGTGGTCTCTCCTTCCAGCCCCTTCCTGCCTGCAGAGCCATCTGTTCCCCACCCTGGTGACATCCTCCTCACTCCCTGAGTGGGGGATCTGGGTAGGGGGTTAGCTGGGAGTGGCCAGGGCAGCTTCAGCCCTTGGTGGCTCCTCCCCTCCCATGGGGCCATCCAGTCCCTTCCACAGCGCTGCTCTTCCTATGGCCTCTGACCCCCCTCCTCATTCTTACCCGGCGTTTTGGGCGCACTCGGTGCCCATTGAGTCCCTTTCCCAAACCTCCAGGGAGAAGGGGTGTGGGAGGAGGGGAAGAAACATACAGAGAGCTGGAAAGGGGGGTTGGGAGACGAGAAATAAAGACAGAGGGAGACACACACACTACAGAGAGGCTGACAGACTGAGAGACAGACAGAGAAATAGAGACAGAAAAAGGGACAAAGGCAGAAATAGAAACAGAGATAGAGTGGGAAATAGACGAACTCACTGAGTCAGAGGGGGGTGGGGGGGGGGAGAGAGAGAGAGAGAGAAGGAAAGAGAACTAAACAGAAAATTAGACTCCAAAGAGATACAGGGAGAAAGACAGGCTGAAAGAAGGAACAGAAAGAGAAGACAGGAGCCAGGGCAGAGTGTGCCAGCTGGCAGAATGGAGGGGTGCCTGGCATGTGAGATGTAGTGGCAGAACTGGGTGGGCAGAAAGAAGCTGGTGTCTCAGCAGGGGTGAGGGGGGCATGGGAGGGGCAGGCATTTTGTTGCTGCTGCTGCTACTGCTGACTGAGGCAGGGGCTGGGGTGGCCTGGAGACCCCCAAAGGGAAAGTGTCCTCTGAGCTGCTCCTGCTCCAAAGACAGTGCCCTGTGTGAAGGTTCCCCGGACCTGCCTGAGAGCTTCTCCCCGACCCTGCTGTCACTGTGAGTGTCAGGGCCTTTGGGGGCCTGAGGGTGGGGATGGGAGTTCCGGGACCCCAGGGTTTAAGGAGAGAGGCCACGAAGGGGTCTGTCAGGATCTTGGGAGGTGGGCAGCAAAGGATGTTGCTCCAAAAGGGGACTGCTGGCATTTGAAAGAGAGCAGAAGGGAAATTCCAAAGGGCAGCAGCAGCATTAGGGGCCCAGGAGAAGGGATAGCTGGGGTTCAGAGGGGTGGCTGAGTGCTGCCAGGATCCTTGCCAAGCGAGGAGGGCAAATGTCTGTCTCCCTGGGATGTAGGGAAAATACACTCAGGGCCAGGGTAGCATGCCAGGGTCCCCCAGACAGGAGGCAGCTCTGGGATGACACTGAAATGTTGGAGTGTTTTCCTCCTCACCCACCATTGCCCATGTCCCCAGCTCACTTGTTAGGACTGGAGCCACCCAGCTGAAGACCGGCAGCTTCCTGAGGGTGCCATCGCTGCACCTGCTGTGAGTGGGGCCCAGCAGAGCTAACAACTAGCTCAAGGGAGCGGGTGTTCATGCACATACATGTAGGGCTCTGTGCACACATATATGTATGTCTGTGAAAGCATTTGTATACACACATATACTCACATCGCATGCATGCATGTGTGTGTGCGTGTGTGAGACCATGCCCAGGTGGGCTGAGGGTGGGGGCCAGATTAAAATGTCAGGTAGAGGGCAGCAACTCTGGACAATTTTCTTTCTTGCTCCCTTGCCAGCCTCCTCACATTCAACATCTTCTCCGTGATTGAGGACGATGCATTTGCGGGCCTATCCCACCTGCAGTATCTGTGAGTGAGGACAGGGGGTGGGGCCAGAATGGGGACCTGAGAGAGGAAGGAGGGGCCCCTCTGTGGCTCCCAGAGTAGGGGGAGGCAGGGGCTTGTTGTCCTGGGGAGGAAGTGTCTGGATCAGGGTCAGTCCCTCCTTGAGGGGCAAGGGGCCTAGCCTCTTGGGTGGGGTCAGGGCCCGCGCTCAGCTGTGTAATCTCAGCCTGCTCACCTCACCGCTCTATGCGTGAAGACCCACAAAGAGCCTGGATAACCCGAGACTGTTTCTGGCCCTACCTGACTTATGGAAGCCCAGGGAGGGTGCAAAGAGGCCAGAGATGGGAAATGTTTCAAATTAACAGGAAACAACTCTGAGTTAGTGATGGTAATGATGGTGGTGATGGTGGTGGTGGTGACAATAGTATGACCATGTTGGTGATGGTGTTGATGTTAGTGCTGATGAGGATGGTAATGATGACGATCTTGCTGCTGCTGCTACAGCTGCTCACAAGGAAGTGGTGACATTATTGAAAATAGTGGAGCGGAGATGATGTTGATAAAAATGGCAGACCCAATGGTGACGGTGTTGTTGGCGATACTGATGATAAAGTTTGAGGGGTTGGTGGTAGGGATAATTATCAGGGTTGTAGACATTGGTAATTCCAGTATTAGTATTGGCGTTGGTATGGATGATGGCTGTGAGTAAGATATTAGTGTTGGTGTAATGAAAATGTGGTTGGCACTGGGCTTGGTGGTGATGGTGGAGGTGTTGGTATGTGTAAAACTTGTGGCAGTAGTGGTGCTAGGGGTGGGCGAGGAGGAGCGTATTGGGGATAACATTGATGTTGGTGTTGGCAATGCCGGTGCTAGTGCTGGTGCTTGTGATAATGGTGGCAGTGCTGATGATGATGCTGGCAGTCATTTGGTAATGACCATGAGGGCTGTGTTGTTGGTGAGGCTGTTAGTGTTGCTGATGTCAGGGTTGATAACGATAGAGTCGGTGCTGGTGTTGACGATGGGAGCAGGCGGTGGTGTTGGTGTTGATGAGGAGTATGGCCATGTTGGTGACAGTGGTGGCACAGTATGGTGTTGGTGATAATGGCGCTTATTAGTACTGGGGTTGATGGCAAAGGTAGAGGCATGGGTATTGGTCAGAGTGGATAACAGTGAAGGTATTGGTGGTGAAGCCAGTGCTAGTGCTGGTATTGGTGAGCACAGTGGCATTGGTGGCTATGGTGGTGGCAGTGCTCAGTGTGAGGCTGGCAATGGCCACAGGGTCGGGCTCTTGGCTCCCAGGACTGTAGGCTGAGACCTCAGTGAGAAGGTTTTGGGGAGGTTTCCCTTGGGATTATGCCAAGTGTAGGGGAAGAATTCAGCACATTCCAGTGGCATATGGTTTCCAGGGAGTGAGTTCCCCTAAAGACTGTGGAACCACAGCAAGAAACTGAGGGTCTCCTCCTCCCCCCACCTTCCATTTGCAGCTTCATCGAGGATAATGAGATTGGTTCCATCTCTAAGAATGCTCTCAGAGGACTTCGCTCACTCACACACCTGTACGTGCCTCCAAACCCTCACTCCTCCTGCCCCAGCTCACCCTGATAGGCACCCCACACCCCACCACCCAGGCACACGATGTCCTGGTAGCTGCTGACAGTCCCTCCTCTTTCTCTCCTTCCACCAGGAGCCTGGCCAATAACCATCTTGAGACCCTCCCCAGATTCCTGTTCCGAGGCTTGGAGACCCTGACTCATGTGTGAGACTCAAGGAGGCTGGGTGGCTGTGGTGTGAATATTTGAGAAGGGAGGGGATATCTGTGACCACTTTTGGGGGGCACAATGAGTACAGCTGATTTGGTTCATGTTTTTCACACCACCTGTGGGGCTCCATCCTGAACGCTTGCCTGGGGAGCAGGTGGAGAGCGTGGCTTCCAAAGGGTGGAAGCCAGGTCGCAGCCCCTCCCCGGTCTCTTGCTCCAGGGACCTCCGAGGGAACCCGTTCCAGTGTGACTGCCGTGTCCTCTGGCTGCTGCAGTGGATGCCCAGCGTGAACGCCAGCGTGGGTACTGGGGCCTGTGCCAGCCCTGCCGCCCTGGCCCACATGCAGCTCCGTCACCTCGACCCCAAGACGTTCAAGTGCAGAGCCATAGGTGGGGGGCTTTCCCTGTGGGGTCAGGGGGACAGCAGGGGTTCCCAGAAGAAGGTGGGAGATCAGGGGCACAGCAGCAAGGGCTGAGGTGTTCACCTCACTTCTTGCTTCCTGTCATTTCCTGGCTGTGAGTCTGAGCATACAGCATCATGTCCCTGAACCTCAGTTTCCTCATCTGTAAAATGGATGTAATAAAAAGTGACATAGGATTGCTGTGAGAATTCAGTGATTGTCCACAACTGCACAGCATTTGGCACAGGGCCTGGGGTGGGAGACCTTTATAAATGCTCACTCTTGTTATTGCTGTTATTAATATAAAAATAGCCACTTCTAAAATGCGTCCTATGATGATTTCACTTTTTCATAAATGTATTTTGGTGCTGTTATGTGTACTCGACAATGTGGAGAGCACAGCAGTGAGGAAGACAGTCCTAGGTCTAGCCCCCACAGAGTCCACAGTCCAGAGGAAACCAGAGATTGATGGCTCAGAATGATCAGGGCCGGGGTGGGGGTGGCACAGAGTGGTCAGGGCTGGGAGGTGGGCAGTCTGCAGGGCTGTGGGAGTCCAAAGCCAGAGCGAGGGCCACACACTCCTGAAGGAGTGGACATTTGAGCTCAAATTTGAAGGCTATTAATATAATAACTATTATCATCATCATCATATAAGTGTGACATATTTTAGGTTCACGGGACTCATAGAACAAAAGTATTTAACTTAAGCATCATTCTTTATTAATATATTCAGCAGATGTTCACCAAGGTCCACTCTGTGCCCAGCCCAGTGAGAGGCAGTGGGCACACAAGGGTGACCAGGATAGCTCTTGGCCTTGGCCTCACAGTCCTGGGCATGGGGTGGGGAGAAAGACATTAAATAAAACATTGCACAAATAAATGTATGCTACCTGTCATGGTAAACACAGGGGGTGATAAGGAAACTAAAGGGGTTCCTACCATACATGGGGAGTCTGAGAAGGCTTCTCTGAAGAGATGGCATTAGATCTGGATGTACCTAAAGGAAGTATAGGGGAAGAGAGTTGTAGAGCAAGGGGACTGATGTGCAATGGCCCTGAGGCAGCAGAGAGTTGTCATGCTTGAGGATCAGAGGAAGGCAGGTCTGGTTTTGGGGGTGGGGCTTAGCGAAGGCAAGAATATGGATGAGGTCAAAGGTGCAGGAGCCTCACAGTACAGGACATTGAGAGCAACAGAGAGGAGAGTGGATTTCTACCTGAGGGCTGTGGGAAGCCATGGTGGGTTCTGAGCAGGGAGTGATAATTTGAAGGACATTTTAAAAGATCCCCTTTGGGTGGGCAGCCTTGGTGGTCTAGGTCATTACTTCAACCCTGGCATCTAGAAACAGGGCCCAGCACATAGAGTGTGACCTAGTGCCAACTGCTCAGCTCTACCACCACTATGCTGGGTGTCCTGGGTACTTGTTATTATAAAGGTTAAGCTGTTGTAACAAAGAGGTTCAAAATACCATGAGTTAAAGAAGACAGAGGGTCTGAGGTGTGCGCTCCAGGCAGGTGGAGCAGCCTCTGGGTGTTGTCCTGGTTTTCATGGTTGACACCAACTTGTGGCAGGTCCATCTGCCTGTTCTTGGGGAGAAGGGGAGGGAGACCAAGTCCAGGATGAGCCACCTTCATACACTTGAGGCAGGCATTACAACCACCACTCTACTTTTGTTTCATTAGGAGCTTGGTCTGGACGTGGCCACACCTAACTTTGGGAGGGGGCTGGGGAATGCTGGGATAATGTGGCCTCTAGCTGCACAGATTCGTGCCCAGCTCCAATCCTATTTCAGGAAGATGGGAAGGATGGATTTTGCTGGACAACTGGCTGCCTGTGTCTCTTAGCTTTAGTTTCCACAGCTGTAAAGTGGATATAATAACGGAATGTACCTCATAGGGATTTTGTGAAGTTAAATGAATTGACGAACAAGTTGTTTCTAAGCAAGTATTTAATAATGCCATGAAGCTTAAAAAATAAAGTGTTACCATGTTGTTTTGAGTTAATACAGCTATAGATTAAAAATATTCCACTCTATGTCCTTACAAGATGAATACCATAATGGCCCTCATTTCAGAGATGAGCAAACCAAGGCTCAGCGATGAGGACCTTGGGGTCCCCTGGGTCTGCCTGACTCTCTCCTGCCACCCCCAGAGCTGTCCTGGTTCCAGACGGTTGGAGAGTCGGCGCTGGGTGTGGAGCCTTTCTCATACCAGGGGGAACCCCACGTCATCCTGGCACAGCCCTTTGCCGGCCGCTGCTTGATCCTCACCTGGGACTACGGCCTGCAGCGCTTCCGGCCAGAGGAAGAGCTGTCTGGTGAGCCCTATTCCTGTCTCCTGCCTGCTCAGCAGCCTGCCCCCAGGCCTGCCCTGCCCAGCTGGCCTGACCTGCTTCTTGCTCTCTGACTCCCCGACAGCACCCTCAGTGGTATCCTGCAAGCCGCTGGTGTTGGGCCTGCGCCTCTTCATCCTGGCTGCTCGCCTGTGGGGAGGCTCACAGCTGTGGTCCCGGCCCAGCCCTGGCCTGCGCCTGGCCCCCACTCAGGCCCTTGCCCCAAAGAGGCTGCTGCGCCCCAATGATGCCGAGCTCCTGTGGCTAGATGGGCAGCCCTGTTTCGTGGTGGTCGATGCCTCCAAGGCAGGCAGCACCACACTGCTGTGCCGCGATGGGCTTGGCTTTTACCCACGTCAGAGCCTCCATGCTTGGCACCGGGACACAGATGCTGAGGCCCTTGAGCTGGACGGCCGGCCTCATCTGCTCTTGGCCTCGGCCTCCCAGCGGCCGGTGCTCTTCCACTGGTTTGGGGGCCGCTTTGAAAGGCGCACAGACATCCCTGAGGCTGAGGACGTCTATGCCACACGCCACTTCCAGGCCAATGGGGACGTGTTCCTGTGCCTGACACGCTATATCGGGGACTCCATGGTAAGCCTGGACCCAGCCAGGTAGGAAGGGCAGCAGAGGTCACAAGCTACTCCTGACCTGCACCTGACTCCTACTCAAGGGGTGCCTTTTTAGCACTGACCATTCAATATGGGCTGGTCTTTCAGCATTGACCCCCACCTTCCACACTGGCCTCTAAACTCTGACCCAGGCTCACAGTCTGATCTTCAAACTCTAACCCCACCAGATCCTTGAATCTGACCCCACCCCAACACTGACTTCAAGGCTGTGACCCCTCATGGACTGTTAACCCTAAACTACTCCCTATCCCCCAACATAGACACTGGCCCGGGAGATTCTGATTCTACCCCTAAACTCTGGCTCTGTAACTCTGGTTCACTCCATTTGACCACATCACCGCACTCTGAACCCCCAGGGCTGATGCCCACACCCTCCAGCACTATCTTTTCACAGTAAGGAATTGCCAAGGGGAGAGTCTGAGCCTAGAAGGCACTGATCTGACTCAGATGTCCATAGAGTGTCTGGGTAGGAAGCAGACTGGGCACAAGGACAGGAATAGGGTAACCAGGGAAGAGGTGACTGTAGCTGGGTCAGAGAGCAGCCAGAGGAGATGGCAACAATATATACCATAGTAGCCAAAACTGACAGATTTCCATTACTGATGGATTCTATGTGGGGTGTGTGGGAGAGAGAAGCGCCAAGAATGTGGTCTCAGCAGCTGGGTGGAGACAATGATTAAGATAAGAAAGCTGCAGGAGTTTGGGGAACCGACAGGCCTCTGTTTATAAGCATTTCCAAGTCTCCTAAAACCTAGAAGACTACTGGCAGGCCTGGACCTCCTGGACTCCAGGCCCTAACTTGCCACCACACTTCACAGGTCATGCGCTGGGATGGCTCCATGTTTCGCCTGCTGCAGCAACTTCCATCACGTGGTGCCCATGTCTTCCAGCCACTGCTCATCGCCAGGGATCAGCTGGCTATCCTGGGCAGTGACTTTGCCTTCAGCCAGGTCTTCCGCCTTGATCCTGACAAGGGACTCCTGGAACCTTTGCAGGAGCTGGGGCCCCCAGCTTTGGTGGCCCCCCGGGCCTTTGCCCACATCACCATGGCTGGCAGACACTTCCTCTTTGCTGCTTGCTTTAAGGGCCCCACACAGATCTACCAGCTTCACGAATTAGACCTCAGTGCCTGACTGTGGATGGGACCCTGGACATGGTTAGTGAGGGGGCTGGCATGGGAAATCTTAGGCCTCTGGACAGGCTCTTGATTGACCTCCTGGCCCCACTTGGGATTATGGTTGGTCCTGTGAAATACTGGCCACAGCCCAAGTTCAAGGCAAGAGCTGTCCTCCTAGTCTAAAGCAACATCTTTTCTGGGGGCAAATGCCCCCCACCAAGGGTGATATGGGAGCTCAGGCTGGGGCATGGAAGCAGAATCCAGAGTCATGGTAGGGGTAACGTACAGAGCTCCCTCCCCTCAAAACACCCTCCCTGCTCCCTGTGCAAGTACTCAGGAGGAGATAGCTTTCTTCTCAATCTGGCCAATCGCTTTTAGTGCATCCCTCCATGACGTCATCAGTTGCTGGGCAGGTTTTCCTGCTGGGCTTGCTAACTTCCTCTGCTGCTTGTGCGCATGCCTGCTGCTAAGGCGGAAACAGCCTGGCGTCCTCATGCTCGCAGAGGAGAATGGGAGGAAAAGCGAGAGTTGTTGTGGGGAACCTCGGGTGCCCTTTTCCAGTGGGTGACAGGGGTGAAGGCAGAAAGTGTCTAAACTCAATAAATGCGCTGTGCACCCACCCCACCGGTTGTTGTGGGATCATTGGGAGAGTGTCTCCTGAATGATATGGGTGGGGGGCAGTGTCCCAGGAGCAGTGTTATGGAATGCGAGGTCCCAAGAGTGAGCCTTCGGAGTTGTCTAAGGAGCGTGGGTCATGATTATGGGGGGCTCATGGAATGTTCGAGGGATATAAGGGCAGTATCAGGGGATAGGCCACAAGTTTATTGTGGGTCCCTTCTTGGGGTCTCTTTTTGAGTGTTTTGAAGGGTTTTAGACATTTTAAAGAGTGGCTCTTGGGGACATTTGGAGGTCTTACTGGGTTTTGGGGAGTCTCAAGGGAGTCTGAGGCTCATTGGAGGGTCTCATATCATATGGCTGTCATCATATATTACAAGGGTTATTATGGACAATTATTTAAATGTCTCACAGGGACATTTGGGTGTTAGGAAGAGCCTTCTGCAATAAAGTGGGGTCTCAGCAGTGAGTGGAAGGATTACAGCAGTCTCACTACTGTAATCATAGGCTACCTGGTAACTCATGTCACGGTAGTATGATCCCAATGTCCACCTGAATGTCCTAGCATTTCTTCTGGCTACAGCTCCCTTTCACTCTCAGAATGTCCCCTATCTGAACACTAGAAATTCTCAATTAAACATGTGGCTCCCATGACCATGGAGGTAGAGAACAGACCCCATGCCATTCAGCAGGTCATGAGGGAATAGGCCGTTGGGCTCTTCCTAACAAAGAAACTCAGCTGCCAGCTTCTGTAGCAGGCTCCAGTGCATGCCTATCTTCGGCCCCACACCCCAAATCCTACTCCAAAGCACGCATAAGGAGTTTCAAGACTGCTTGAGCAGGAGGAAGATCATTTTAGATTAAAAAATTGAACAAAGAGACCCCTCCAGTGAGAAATGAAATGAGGCCCGGCAAGGCATTCTGAGGAGAGGAGGGAGAATTCCATCCTGGAGTGGGGTTCCTGTGCAGAATCAGGATGTAGGGAGAGAGAGGCCCTCTGCGCTCTTTTGCGGAGCCGTCCTCAACAGCTGTGGGCAGAGCCTGGGAGAGGTGATGGGGTCAGCTTGTGAGAATGGATGGAGTTCTTTCTCCCCAGGGCATGTGCATACGTACACATACACCTCACATCCTATGTTCCCCTCAGCCCCATCTGTCCATATCTTACCTGGAGTGACAAGAGAGGTGTCCCCTGGTCGGTGGCTGAGAAAAGAAAAGTGGTGAGATCTGTATCCACCGCTTGTCCTCTCCCTCAAGACTAGAAGATTCTCTGCTTTCCCCAGCCTAGCTTCCTGGCTATTTTTCCATTGTAGGGTTGTACCACCCTGGGGTCCAAAGCATTTCAAGATGTGGGGCCCTGTGAGGATTTTCAGCTCTAAAGAATAAACCTAGGAAGTCTTAGTGTCAGGAATCCTCCAGGGCAGAGCCTGGAGGCCTGGCCTCTTTCTGTGAGATTTCTTTCACCCTTGAAAGCTGTCTGTCCAGCATGAGGCACACACACACACAGGGAACCCATCTCACCTGGGCTTCTGGTTGAACTTGCATTTGCATTTCCCACCTGTTGAGGAAAGGGGAACAGTCAAGAGAGGGGTCCCACAGCAGTGCCCTGCCCCACTCCCCTGCCTGTTCTTCCACTCACTCATGAGGACGATGATGCCGATGGCGCATAGAACCCCCGCACAGATGAGCCCGCCGACCCGGAGGCTGTGCCAGTCTAGGAGAAACCCAGAGGGGGCCCTCAATGCCAGCCCGTGTCCTCCCTATTCAAGCCCTCATCCAAAGATACATTGTGTACCTATGATGTGCTGGGGACAGAGCAGTTCGGGTAACAAATCTTAGCCCTCCTTTGCTCACATTTAGTTAACACACAAGCAAGTAACAGATTTAATGTAGGATCAGGTGCAGAGAAGTGGTCTGAAGACAAACAAGCAGAGCCAAGGAAGAGAAAGTCAGATGGCAACTCTTTTAGGGAGAGTGGTCAGGAAAGGCCTTTCTGAGGGGCCCCACTTGAGCAGAGACATAAGGAGAAGGTGAAGGAGGGAGCCCGACAGCTTGTGGAAGAAAGTGTTCCAGGCAGAGGGATCAGAAGATATGAAAGTCCAGAGGCTGGGAATGTGTCTGCTGAGTATGAACAATAGCTGAGAGACCATTGTGGCCTAAGCAGAAGCAGTGGGGCGGAGAAAGGGGAGTGAGGGCAGAGGGGTGACATAGAGCAGATCATGTGGAAACTGGAGCCCACAGAAAGATTTGGATCAAATAGCTCAGCCATTCCAGGAAGTTTCCTCAAGTCAGTGTCTCTCCCAGAAGACTTGATTTGAACCATAGCAATGGCTTCTTATGAACTCTCCTTGCTTCTTGTAAACTGCCCTTGCCAGATAGTCATGAATCTTCCCGAGGGCTGGGCTGGCACATCTTGTTCCCTTAGTTCACTGTATTTACTGGTCAATATCCCAGTCCAATCCTATCCTTGCCCCTTTTTCACCCACATCAGACCCTCATCCAACTCTCTGTGGGACCCTTGGTGCAAAATGGTATGAGGAGCAAAGGGAGGGGCACCCGCTCTTACCATAGTAAAAAGGACTGTCTTTGTCTGAAAGGAAAGAAAAAAAGAACATGAATCCAGAACAATAGCTGTTCCAGGGGTCCAGGGATGGAGGGGTTCGAGGGGGAGAATGTTGAGGTGGGACTGGTAGAAGAGTACAGTCTGACTTACCTTCTGGGTCGTTGGCCTCCAGGGCAGGCAGGCCTGGTGGGAGAACCGGGGAAGGAGAGATGATGGTCCTGGCCTCAGTGAAACTGGCAGGTTGGGCCACGGAGCCTCAGGGATAAGGTCCCCTCATGGACAGTTCCCTGCCTCCTGAGGGTGCAGGGGTCCAGCCCCAAACTAGCTGCCTCAGCATGTCCCATCTCGGAGTGTGGATCCTCAGCCCCACTCCTGAGAGCCACACCAGCATTTTCACACCTGAAATAGGTTTTAATCTGGATGGCTTTTGGCCACCCTTTGGCTGAATGTTCCAGACACCTGGCTAATCCACGCCTCCTCCAGAAATAAGGCAATGTTCCTGTCCACATGACAGATGGTGTCAGTGCCCCATCATTCTCAGAGCTCATCTCCCTCTTCTGCCTGTTCTGATGTTTGCTCACCACTGCCCTTTAAAGCAATTTACTAATTATAAACTTAATATGCTTTATTTGAAAATGCATTGTTCTATTACTATGCTAAATCGAATACAAGTCTTGCCTGATGTAACAGATAAAAACAAATACAATGAAAGAAAAGAACTGGGATTCTGTCTAGAAACAGTGGGCTGCCTGACCCTCTGGGCCTGAGCTCTGCTCTTTCTTGGTTAAAGGGAGATCATTAATTTTAAATCATTTTTAAAGGACAAACGCATAGTGCTTACTCAGTACCGGTACTGTTCTAAGTGCTTTCCAAATACCAACTCATTTAATCATCACAGTGAGCCTATACGTAAGTGCTATTATTATCCTAATTTTTACAGATAAGGAAAGGGAGGCACGATTGGTAACTTGTTACATAACCTCTAAGCTCCCGGTTACCTCTTGTAATAAAGTGCTAGGGAGGAGTGAAAGACACAGTACAAGGCTGAACCTTTTCCCTGACGTCGTCAATGAGACATCAAGACTGGACTTTTCTAACCAGTTTAGCTGCTGCTTTGAGAGGTTCTCCCTTTGTGTTTTTTTGAAATCATCAGTGTGACACTTCTTCCCACAAGGAGGTGCTATCCTGACAGTCCCCAAGTCACAGGGGAGGCAGAAAACACAAGAGAGACACAGGCTTGCCTGCCACTCAGCTGAAGGCTTCGGGGGAAAGGCATTTCAGGGGACAGCACTCACCTGCCAGGAAGATGAGCAGGCTCAGGGCCACGTGCTGCATGATGGAGTGCTGGCCTGGAGGGAGGTAGGGGAAGGCCCAGCTTTAGCAGGGATGCCACCAGGGCTGCTGGTTCCCAATCCCCCCCTACTCCACCCCCCACCCAGGGTATACAGCTTGCCACAGGGCAGAAAGGCTGGCCCTGAATGCTGAGAGACAAGGAGCCAAAAAGTGTAGATAGAGGGGACTAGGTGAGAACTCAGAGGGAGTAGCAATAATAATTCAGTGGGCATGGAATTAAGGTTTGAAGTCCGGGCAACCAAAAGAGGGAGAAGCTGCCTACAGTTAACCCCATTTTACAGATTGGGAAACCAAGGCTCTGATAGGTGTCTTGCCAGAAGCAAGATTTAAACCGGGCCTGGCTCCACAGCAGCTGTCCCTCACTCAGGAAGGACTTCTCAGGGCCTTGGGGTGTTTTGGGAAATGTGGTGTTAGAAGCCAGGTGGCAGGAGGCCCGGTTCCTGGGAGTGTCTCCCATAGACAGCTTGGAGCCTGTCCGCCTTGCCTAGACTTTGCAGACATCAGGCTGCTCAGGATAGGGTGTGGGGGAGAGAGTACAGGCTGGGGTGGTGAGAGGGCAGGCTTGGGAGAAGAATTGGCCTGGCTGTAGTCACAGCCCCATCTTTTGTGTCACCCTGACCCCTGACCCACAGTTCTGCCCCACCTCTGCCCATCCCACCTCAGTACCCGGCTCTGTTTCTACCCCAGTCCCAGGCCCTGCTCCCAGCCCAGCCCCACTCCTGCTGAGCTCCTCCTGGCAACAAACTCTTCCTCCTTCCCCAGGGAGCCTTGCCCAGCGTGAAGAGGACCCCTCTGTCCTCTCCTGGTCTAGGTTTAGTCTATCTTTTCACTACCATCTGTGCCTGGGGTAAGCACTCGGTCTCTGTGCATCCTCCTAGATCCTCAGCACCTCACTCCTCTGCCCTCTCCCTGCCCCTGCCCCATGGCCACAAGCATATGTTGTCATAATCTTGATAGCAAGAGCTTATATTTACTCTGACCCACCCTGCACTGGGCACTGCCAAATGACCCCGCTGGGTTTTCACTCATTTAATTCCCAACAGCCCTGGAGGTCATTTGTTATATACTCCATTTAATGATGGGAAAACATATATCTTCCCCAACCCTGGTAAAAAAGCCCATTTGAGCCCTGGCTAGTGTGGCTCAGTGGACCAAGCACCGGCCTGTGGCTCAAAAGGTTGCCAGTTGGACTCCCCGTGAGGGAGCATGCCTGGGTTGTGGGCCAGGTCCCCGGCTGGGGGCATGTGAGAGGCAGCTGATCAATGTATTTCTGGCACATCAATGTATATTTTCCTTTCTTTCTCCCTCCTTTCCCCTCTTTCTAAAAATAAATAAAATCTATAAAAAATAAAGCCCATTTGACAGTCCCCTCTGTGTCCTTGTGGCTACTCCTGTCCACAGGTGGAAAGAACACCCCCCACGTCTCTCTCCTGTTCCTTCCGCACAACACCCACCCGAGTTGCTTTCTGTTTCAGGAAGAGGGCCTGTAGTTCGGGGGAGCATTATTAGGGTGTTTAGAAATCCACGGAATTTGGGGGTGATCTGGACTGGGCCCAATAGCCCAAAGGCTCTGGGCCGAGGCCTGTAGAAGCTCTGCTGTTGTTGAAACCTGTCTCGTGAGGCTTTGTCACCCTGTGACTATACTAGTACCAGCAACAGAGCTTGGGCTTATTGAATGTTCGACACACGGCAGGCGCTGGTCTCAGCTTTGTGCACTTACTCACGCACATAATCTTCACAGCCAGATGAAGTTGGCACTATGATTAGCCCACGTTGCTGTTGCAACCCAGTAACCCCTGTAAACTAAGCTTAATGCGCTATACTCTGTTACCCGAAACTCACAGTTGCAGCTCTTAAGCCTCTTTCCATGGGATCCTCCAAGTCCACTGCCCACTGGGAGGCCTTTGTTACTCCCCCTCTCTGGGGCATCACCCAGCACCCCCAGCTCAGGGGAAACTAATGGCTGGATCAGCTGTGCCCAGCCCCTGCACATTTCCAGCCTGGCTCTCCCCGTGGGGCAGGCTGCGGAGGGCTAGTCTGCCGTCCTCTTTTCCTGTCAGGCCCTTGTTGGAAAAGGCCCGATCTACTCCCAAACTGACTGCAGTTGGTGTGAGGCTTGGAGAGGAAGGCAGCTTGCAGGAGGAGGCTCTGCCCACCCCTTTCCGCTCCTGTCTCTGCCACCTGCCCTCTGCTCTCCCCTCTGTCCCTCCATGACGGTGGCCAGGACTTTCGGTCATTCAGAGTGACTCCCCCATGCCTGAAATCAACTCCGCATTTTATACACCCTTAGCAGCCACCTTCTCTGAGATCCACAGGACCCCACTCCCTAGACACTCAAAGTCTATCAATCACCCCCCCACCGTCTACTCTCATACCCTCAACCACCTATGGTACACTTAGATACTTCCATTCACCCAGGTACCCCCAACCTACTTCTGTTTACCACCTGGTACTCCACGTACCTCAGTCCCACCTGGGGAGGCATGGTTATCCTCACCCCAGCTGGCTCACCCAGCCCCTGAGAGGAGAATGATGGGAGGAGGATCTCATTAGGGGCTTTCACTAATCTCCTGCCAACCCCCCCAGAAAAGCACCTTGAAGGGGGAAGGTTCTAGGGTCTTAATAGGGAGCAGTGGAGGGAAGGGGCCCCAGCTCTCACCTGTGTGTCTCCCCAGGCTGTGTGGAGGTTCCAGGTTCCGCCTGAGTCCTACCTTTATTGGCAGTTGCCACGCCCTAAGCAAACCTGGGCAAAGCTGGGCAGGTAAAGAACAAGTCAGACTCCCTAAAGCACAGGGGCTCTCATCTCATTCCTACTCTTAAAGAGATAGCTCCTGCCACCACCCCCACTAGTGACAGGAAGCTCCCTGGGGTCCAAGGTCACAGCAGCCTCAGGTGAGGTCCAGTAGAATAAGATGGACTGGAACTCACCCCTCATCCCTGACATTAGAGGAGGGGGCTTCCTCCAGTCTCCTGCCCCTTAGAAAAGGATCTGGGAGGAAGAAGGCCCAGCATCTGGCAGTCTGGTGGACCAGTGGGGGAGGGCTATACACAGGTGTAATATCCTAATTTCTTTTACTTAGCTTGTGTGTTGTGCTTGGAGGAGGGATTGGCGGCAATTATGGGAGATCTAATGTCTTCCTCAAAGCTACTTGTTGCTGTGGACTTGGTTTGAGGGTCAACAGAAGATGCTGACTTGCCCAAGGTCCTAACATGGGGGGTGGGGGGCTGTTACGCCTTAGACCACGACCCCTGCCCTGTCATGTTCATCTTGCCCTAGAGAGACTGGGAACTGGCTTCTGAGCACTAGGCCAGACCTTCCTAGCCCAGGTCTTCCCAGGAGGGCTAGGGGCCTGGGACTTCACAGTGGGCCTTGGGATGGGGGGCTGCCTCCCACTCTGGATAAGGCCCACTGCACTGTGCATGGCTCCTTTCCCTTCCTTCCTCCCTCTCCTGCCCCTCCTCCTCCTCATGGCATTCCTTCCGGCTGGGGTCTGTGCAGGCCCCCACATGGTCCCTGTTGGGGTGCACCCTCCCCCCCAATTCCGCCTTTTTAGACAGAGAGACTTTTGTTTGGGGGCTGGATGTAGAACAAGGCGCCTTTGAGTGGCTGGCGGAGGATTGGGGTCATGGGGAGGGGCAGGGCCAGGAAAGAGTGGCTCTGTGCTGGCCACCAGATGGACTCCAGGCGACCCCCAACACCACCACAGGGGTGGGGAGGAGAGCCGTGGGGACCAGGCCATGGAGAGGGTACTATCAGGAGGGTGGAGTACAGGACATGGAAAGGGGGTTTGGAGGTCAAGGCTTTGCTGGGGGCTGTCTGCTGGGGGCAGGGAGAATAGACCCCCACCCCCCACTTCTCAGCAGAGAGGGACAGGAAGGCAAGGATGTTCACCCAGCTACATGGTTTTCTTTACATGGCTCCCTCAGGCAATTTCTCAATCCCAGGCCCCAGACTAGGATAAAGCCTCCCCCTAGTCCCATTCAAAAGGGGCCAGTCCCTGCAAGGAGTGGAGAGGGCACTCAGGGTGGACAGGGCTCAGTCAAAATGGGAAATTGGGGGGCTGTTGGAGATAGAAACAGGGGAAAGGGAGGCCTGAGGGGGATTCTAGTCCAGCTAAGAGACCTTTGTGCCTGGGCAGATAGTGCAAGATTGTATTGTCCCTGGGAAGACCCCTTTGGTGGTCTTGGGAATGGAGTAGTGTCTCCCTCTGCCGGGAAGTCTGGAAACTACAGGCATCGGAGAGCAAGAAGGGTTGAATGCACTGTAGCTGAGAAGAAAGCATGTTCTGTCCTTCACCTGTGCCAGAGTCTGCAAACTCAGATTCCAAAGGGTCCAGGCAGGAATTGTGAATGACTGCAGCAGAAGAGGCGTGAGAGTAGAAGGTACTTAAAAGCAAAAGATTGATCGGTTGCCTACTATGCGCCCCAACTGGGGACCTAGCCCACAACCCAGGCATGTACCCTGACCAGGAATCAAACCTGAGACCTTTTGGTTTATGGGAGGATGCTCCAACCAACTGAGCCACACCAGCCAGGGCTCCTGAATCTTTAAACACCGTGGCTTTGCATTCAGATATCCATATGTTTATGAGACTTATACCCAACCCAGGACAACCATAGCTCCTTCCCAGGGCTGGACAGGAATATGCCACAACCAAGAATAAGCTGGGCTCAGGCTGGGAGGGATAGGACCTGAGAACACCCCCACCCCGTATGGGTAAAGATGTTCACACTGGGGCCTTCAGGAGGGTCTTCAGATAGTGGGGTGAGTGCAGTCCCTTGCACCATATTGGGGGTTGGATCTCTTTCAAGGTGAGTTCTCTAGGTCGATTTGACTTTGGTCTTATTAAAGTGTGTCCACTTGTTTATTTATATACATATTTATATATAAATATATGTTATGTATACTTATATTATATATATAATAATGTCACTTGAAATAGTTTATCTCTTTCATTTTGTTTTTGAAATCCTTTGGCCCTAAAGAATCTGTTGAAGCTGTGATTGGCTATGCTTTCTTGGTATCCTGGGAATCTTTACTAAATGAGAAAAATCAAACCTATAGATAGTTTCTGAACAACACAAAGTTTTCAGGAATGTTGAATAAAAATACAAAAGCAAGGCCATAGGGTTCTTTGTAGTCACTGATTCAAAGTTTTATCAATTGTGGTTTTTAATATTCAGGGGTCAATAATTTTAATTTTTTTTAATTCCTCACCTGAGGATATGTTGATATGTTTATTGATTTTTTTTTTAAGAGTGAGAGAAGAGAGAATGGGAGAGAGAGAGAAGTATCAATGTGAGAGAAAAGCATCAATCAGTTGTCTCCTGTACATGTCCTGACAGGGACTGAATCTGAAACCTAGCTATGTGCCTCGACCGGAGATTAAACCCACAACATTTTGGTGTACAGGATGACAAAGCTCCAACCAACTAAGCCACCTGGCCAGGACTATTGTCCTTCTTAAAGCTGTGAATGTTTTCACAAGCTTCTGGTAAATTTATAGGCCCTAGATGGGCCAGGCTGGAGTGTGGGAGCCAGAGGCACCCCGACCCATGAGAAGGGTCCTGGTTGGGCCAGTTCCCCACCTTCCCAGGTGGAGACTGAGAAGCCAGGTTGGTGGGTTGGGGAGGTATGGTTGCAGCAATAGTCCAAGCTCCTACTTCCTGGGCAAGATGAGGATAAAGAGATCCATGGGCAGATGAGTATGGCCTCCTGGGGCTCTGGAACTGCTCCCTATAGCTTCTGTATTCAGCACCTGTGAAAGAAGAGTGGGAGCTGGCAGGCGGCCTAGTCCTGCCACTTTGGGTTGGTGTGGCTGTGACCTTACAAGAGCCACTTGAAGTGCCACACAGGGCAGCCCATGCTCTACAGGCCCCTTGAGGTCTGCCCTCTGTGTTGCTTTGATGTCATCACTCACCAAGAGAAGCTGGAAATGTTGGTTTTTATGATGTCACCTCCTGATTTTTAAATGTTGGTAACTGACTTTTGAATTGTTGGTAATTCCTTTAATACTTTGTGGACCAAATGAAATATGCCCTGGATCAAGCCCTGGGGCTACTGGTTTGAGCCCTCTGTTTTAGGCAGTAGGCAAGCTGGAGGAGGTTCAGCTCCGCCCCGCCCCTCCTCCCCTCCCCCCAACACTGTCACTCTGTTCCAGCCTTTTTTTATTCCTGGAACACTTCGGGCCTGTTGCTGCCTCTGGGCCTTTGCAACAGCTGCTCCCTCTGTCTGGAATTCTTTTCCCACATGTCAGCGGGGCTCATTCCCTTACATTCTTCAAGTCCTGGCTTAAATGCCACCTTGTCACATGGTGTCCCTGGCCACCCTATTTAAAATCACAACTACCCTCTGCTCCTTCTATTCCCTTATTGTGGTAGGCAGTTAGGCAGATCTGAGCAGAGCAAGAACAATGGGACAAAGCATAGCAAACAGGAAAACAAGGATTTCACCCCCAGGGTAACCTTTCCTTCCCTAGCATGTTGCTGGTGCTGGTCCTGCCATTTGGACCCCTTAACCTTTAGTATTTCTGGTCATGCTATTTAGACCTCTTGACCTTTCCTCCCTAGAGATAACATCTAGGCCTGGAAAAGCAGAAAAACTGGGTGGATGATGCCTGTGTTACTGGATAGGGGTCTGGTCTGAGTGGGTCGTTCTAGGCTTGTAGTGTGTGTGTTCTTGACTTTGTGTAGGAAAGATTTCACAACATGAGTCCAGGTGACGATGAGGATATGTTTGTTCAAGCTGGGACAGTGAAACAAAGAAGGCTCTAGCATAGAAGGAGCAACAGGAGAGCCTAGGCTGGGCTGCCTTAGCTCACTGGGAAGTCAGAGAAAAGGGGGCTTTGGGGATAGTTTCAGGGGATCAGTCTGGGACAAGCTGCCAGCTGCCCATTGCCTTAGAGTTTAGAAGACGCGTGCCTGTGGGGAAAGAAGTGGGGGAAGAAGAAGGGAAAGGGAATGGCCAGGGCTGCTCCCCAGAAGGAGAGCACATGCTTTCGGTCCTTTGTCTTGAGGTTTTTATCTCTTTCTTTTATTGCTTAGGGGTGGTCTCAGGGGAATATTGCAGTAGAAAGCATCAGTTCTCCAGGTATGTTCTTTCAGGGTCATGGTCTCCACTGACTGGTCAGTGGCAGGACAGGAGGTCATTAATCATTGCAGCTGGTCCTGGCATTGCCCACCTGGTTTTGCTGCTTTTCTGGGCCTGGAGCTGAAATACAAGTGAGGCCTAGGTGTTACCTCTAGGGAGGTGGCCTTTTGTATCTGGCTGTAAATTGCTCAGTCATTGTGTTTGGTTATCCGCCTCAGTTTCCCTGTTGCACTTGCCAAGGAATTTTCCTAGCTTCTCATTATCCTGTCTCAACAGGACCAGCTGCGTTGACCACCTTGGCTCCAACCAATCAGGGGAGAGCACAACCCTGAAAGGAAGCTGATGAATATTCTACTGAGATCGTCCTCTGGGACCTCCCCTAAAGTCCCCATCATTAAAAGCTCTTAGGATGGAGGACCCAGCAAGTGCTCCCTCCTGGGAGCATGTTGGAGCCTCTCCCCTCCCCCTCTTCTTTCCCTTGGCAAGTTTTCCTTGCCTCTCTCTTTCTCCTAAGCTCCAAGGGCCCTTCTTTTTTGCCTCTGTAACTTGTTTCCTGAGCCCATTTCTTCTACCACTTGCTTCTTCTACCTCTGTGACTTTCTAAGTAAACTTTCTCTTATA